CAAATCTGTTCCCCCGGAGATAAAGAATACCATGTCACATTTTGTATTTGTTTGCCAATTTTCCATGATTTTGACTATTTAAATTTGTTTCTTAGTTACTAAATTCTTTAATAAAAAATGGACATGATGTCTTTTACCTCCAGGGCAGACGAATATGTGAATTTCATCTGAATTAAAGTTCAATTTTTCAGTGTTTTGGTTGTTTTTCTTGATGTGTCTAGTATATTACCGACTGTTAGATGACATTACATTAGTTTTATTTAGTATATTATAAATTTATCATACTTTTTGCTATTCTTTAATCGTAATTAATAAAGTAATCAATATGCTACTGTCTATTAAAAAGTCATGATAAATTATTTAATTTTTTATTCATCCTTTACAGAAAACTGATCCACTCTTGGAAATATTCAACATTTTGATTAGTTATCAGATTTGAATGAAACCTTATATTACTAAGTATTTTTTAAAATCATATCTATAATTAAAAATCGGGGTTAAATAGTTCCAACTTAGTTACATAATTTCATTTTAATTTGAATATTGGTCATTCCTCTTTTCCCAGTCTGCTGGTGTTCCTCAAGGTAGCATCCTCGGTCCTTCATTTACACAGTTGATACAGCTGATATCCCCACCCATTCTAACACTGTCATCACCACCTATGCCGATGACACTTGCATCTTATCAGTTAATAATAACCCTTTAATTACATCCCAAACCCTCTAATCACATCTAGCAAAGCTTGAAGAATGTTGTCAAAACTGGAGAATAAAAATAAATCCCATCAAATTACCTTTATGCTCCGTTGTAAACATACGTCTTCTTGTCTTACAATATCTTTCAATAATATTCCACTTATCCCTGTTGTACAAATCCGATAATCTGCTACCTAGAATTCCAACTGGACAAATGTCTTACTTGAAATCCGCATACAAAGCTGAAATGAAAAGAACCTGCTCAACTTTTCCGCCTGCTCCAACACCAAAATCCATATATATATATATATATATATATATATATATATATATCAGCGATATATGGAATATTAAGGTCTTTATGAATGATTTTTTTTGTGGCAAAATATGGTGCACTTATGGATTTTACGAAGATTTTGGATAGTAAGGATTTGGTACTACAGGAATTTGGTGGCTTGGAGGAGCCCCAAAGCTCAACTCCATATGTCCATATAGGTCTTATTATAGTCATGTAAATGAGCCTTTTATAATTAATTGAAAGTTTAAAGTGTTTTTATAGTAAGTGTTGGAGCAGGCGGAAAAGTTGAGCAGGTTCTTTTCATTTCAGCTTTGTATGCGGATTTCAAGTAAGACATTTGTCCAGTTGGAATTCTAGGTAGCAGATTATCGGATTTGTACAACAGGGATAAGTGGAATATTATTGAAAGATATTGTAAGACAAGAAGACGTATGTTTACAACGGAGCATAAAGGTAATTTGATGGGATTTATTTTTATTCTCCAGTTTTGACAACATTCTTCAAGCTTTGTTAGATGTGATTAGAGGGTTTGGGATGTAATTAAAGGGTTATTATTAACTGATAAGATGCAAGTGTCATCGGCATAGGTGGCGATGACAGTGTTAGAACGGGTGGGGATATCAGCTGTATCAACTGTGTAAATGAAGGACCGAGGATGCTACCTTGAGGAACACCAGCAGACTGGGAAAAGAGGAATGACCAATATTCAAATTAAAATGAAATTATGTAACTAAGTTGGAACTATTTAACCCCGATTTTTAATTATAGATATGATTTTAAAAAATACTTAGTAATATAAGGTTTCATTCAAATCTGATAACTAATCAAAATGTTGAATATTTCCAAGAGTGGATCAGTTTTCTGTAAAGGATGAATAAAAAATTAAATAATTTATCATGACCTTTTAATATACAATAGCATATTCATTACTTTATTAATTACGATTAAAGAATAGCAAAAAGTACAATAAATTTATAATATGCTAAATAAAACTAATCGCACTTTAAAGTCAATGTCATCTAACAGTCGGTAATATACTAGACACATTAAGACATACAACCACAACACTGAAAAATTGAACTTTAAATCAGATGAAATTCACATATTCGTCTGCCCTGGAGGTAAAAGACATCATGTCCATTTTTTTATTAAAGAATTTAGTAACTAAGAAACAAATTTAAATAGTCAAAATCATGGAAAATTGGCAAACAAATACAAAATGTGACATGGTATTCTTTATCTCCGGGGGAACAGATTTGGTAACTGAAGAAACAAATTTTAACAGCTTAAAGTTACGGAAAATTGGCTCCCCTGAACAAGTCCAAAAATGTGATATGGTGTTCTTTATCTCCGGGGAACAGATTTAGTAACTAAGAAAGAAATTTTAATAGCTCAAAATTATAGGAAATTGGCTCCCCTAAACAAATTCAAAAATTGACATGCTGTTCTTTACTTCCGGGATACAGATACGAAATATTATATATCTGATGGTGGTAAACAATTAGAGGGAGAGCCTTATAGTGTATGTAGGTCAAACAATAGCAATTTTTTATCAGGAAAAAACATTTTAAACAAATAAAAATGATTTTTTAAAAATTCATGATAGTATATTTGACAAGTTAGTATTAGTGGGTTTGAATATAACCTCCAGGTCAAAACATCCTTAGGTTGACTCTCAAGTTGTTCATCTGTAATAGACAGATTGAAAGAAAGAAAGGTAACTCAAAACGACCGATTGTTTCTCAAAAAAATCTCATTAGAAGTTATTTATAGGTTGTAGTGTTTATGTATTCAGTTCCTACATACTACTTAGTAAAATAAAATATAATTTTTGTTAAAAGCATTGTATGATGATACTGAAGGCTCAATATGGATAGGTAATGAATTAACAAACAGTTTTAAAACAGAGAGAGGACTAAAACAGGGATGTATTATGAGTCCATTTTTGTTTTCCTGCTATATCAATGATTTAAAGAATTGTTTGGGGGTGGATTATCTATTAATAACAAAAGAATTAAAATGCTAGCATATGCAGATGATATCGTAATTTTGGCCACAAACCCTATAGTAGTTCAAGATATGATATATAATTTGGAAATATATTGTAGGACGAGGAATTTAAATATAAATTTAAATAAATCTAAAATTATGATAATTAGAAAAGGAGGAAAACTGGCAAAAAAGTAAAAATGGAAATTTAATAAACAAACTTTACAGATAGTAAACTGTTATAAGTATTTAGGGATATTATTAACGCCAAATATATCAATGAGTAAGCATGTCCAACAAAAAATTTCTAAAACAATGATAAGTATAAATGTTATATGGAAGAAGCTATTTACTTATAATAAAATAAATTTGAATTCAAAACATAAAGTGTTCAAAGCTTCAGTTAAATCAATTGTAGGTTATGGGGCACAGGTGTGGGGAGGTTGTGAATATTAAAAAGTTGAAAAAGTTCAGTACTATTTCATTAAAAAAATATTAAATTTACCCAGATATACACATGCATATATTATTCATATAGAAATGCAATTAACACGGTTGTATCTAGAAAATATAAAAGGGCAACATGATTATATATGTAGAGTTATGCAGTATTCGGATAATAAGTTACCCAAAATAATAGCAAAAGAAATAATTAAAAAAGAAATAGGCTGATGTAAAGAGGTAAAACGTTTAACAAGTCAATACCAAATAGATTTTGATTTTAATAACATAAATAAATGGAACGTGCATTTTTAGAAAATAAGAGAAAAACTGGCAATAGAATTAGAAAATCGGTTTAAAACCCTAGCGAAAAAATCAAATAGAACTTATATATACAAAACCTTAAATCATGATATATTGGGGAACAATTATTTCAATAAGAAATATAATGAAACGATAATAAAATGGATATTTATTAGATATGGATGCCAGAGCAGAATTAATACAATTTAACTGTAGGGTGTATTATGAAACAAGTAATAAATTATGTTCATTATGCAATAGTAATGAAATAGAAAATATCGTGCATTTCCTATTTGTATGTCCTGTTCTGGCGGAATTTAGGAGAAAATGTTTTGGAAAAGATGGCCTGACATTTGGGGAAATAATTGCACATTTAGACGGAAAAAATTGGGTAAGTCTATCCAATTATTGTAAAGGATCCTGGCTATACAAATATGACTTATGCCAAGAATTTAATTATTAGATGAATAATGTTTAAGCTGGAAAAATTATTTATGTAATTATATTAGAATATCTATATTAAAGTAATTATATTTGTGATATTAACAGCTGATACATTGTATTTCTGTATTTGTTAGCATTAACACTGTATTTATTAAAATTTTAACATATAGGGTTTTAGTTTATATTATTGTATCAATAATACTTATTTTGCCAAGCCCAGCCTCCGGCTGACGGTTTTAAGAACCAAGTCGTATATATTTTTTTATTGACCTTGGATACTTTAGTTCCAAGTTTATAAATACTCAATAAAAATTCATTCATTCATTCAAAATATAATTTTTGTTAAACATTTGTTGTATTGCAGTAATGTGAGAACTGATCCAAGCATCTTAGAGATAGATAGGCTTGCATGATATAAAATGCAAGTTAACTTATAATTCTAATACTTAAATGATGATTGGAGGTAAAGTCAAAATGAAATATGCAGGACATAATATACTGCTCTCATTAAAGAGGTTTGATAATTGAAGATCTAACAGTAGAGCATCAATAGTATATTTTGACTACATCCACAATCACCCTATTCATGATTTTGAAATACAAGATTTGTATTTTTTTTTTCTTCATTTTTTTTTAAGATTTGATATAAGTTAAATTACACATTTAATATTATAAACAATAATAAAATTCTACGGAATAATCCTGTTATAACACTACCAATTGTGGTAAATAATAGAGTTATACAAATACTTTAAATAGAAGGTAAAAAAATAATTAATTGCTCACCATTTATATAGTTTAAAACGTTTATTTTGATTTTACAAGTTTTACTGGCAGTCACTTTTTCAACTATTCTAATTAGTCTTTTCCATATTCTAATTTTATCTTTCGATGTGATATCTTAGGAATAAACACTGTTATTGTTGCTATAGATCATTGCAGTATCAATAATTTGTCATAAAAGAAGTCTTGTTTAAACAAATACGACAATAGTTCATAAAAACATTTCTGTACATTAACACCTTAATAGGAAATAGTGTAGAACATGATTTTAGTTTTAAGATATTCCAACATGTAGAAATATTCAAATAGGTTAAGATTAGTACTTAAAAGACCATCTAATAATATTTGTCACATAATAAGATTTTTAATGCCTATATGATCTAAGACATTAGTTTCTTGACGCAGGCGCCCCACATTGTTTTCCTTCAGATCAGGTAGACTTTTTAGATCAGTCTCTCATACCCATTGATGAGTTGTTCAAAGGTATTAATTTGATATATAACATAAATAACAACTTTATGTTAAATAACATTTATATTAAATCATATTTTTTAACCACTGCTGCACATAGGGCATCAACGGTTATAAAAACATTTAGCAAGGAATGTAAGTTATTATGATGTAACCATAATTCTTGCTTAATATCATAACAATTCTTGTACATTTCAAGAAAAATTTTAAACTTTAAATTTATCAGCTTAAAATATCCTTTAATCCACTCCTTTACGAGATTCTTGTTGAGAATAACTTGTGATGACTATCCCAGCAATAACAAATGATGTACCAAACCACCAAATAAATGAGGGCTTTTCTCCAAACAAAAGTGAACCGATGATTGCCTTAAACAGAAATATACTTACATTAATTTATAGTTCATGTCACACTAAAATTTAAAATTACAACTGTAATGATACAATTGTCCTAAACAGCTCTGAATAAAAATGACAAACAAGGGACACCTTTATAATTATAATTAGGTTCTTCTTGATAATAGCCTGTAGGCTGGAACGTAAAGATGAAGAGAAAGACATTTAAGACAAAATAATCAAAATTAAATTAGAAATAAAAACAATTCATTGGCCATTAGGCAACAGGTTTCAGTTGCAATCATTAGTAAGTGCTATTAATATTTTTATTCTTATATTTTACATATAAATATAAAAAGAGAATGATTTCTTTGATGTGATATCGGAATTGCCTCAATACATTTGTAATATGAATGTATTATAGCTTGCAATATCAAAACATAAAACCATTGATTACGGTTTTCTTACTCAATAATTCTAAGCTAAGTTTATGTTAAAAAGTACAAATTTTTCTTATGGGTAACCAAAATTTGGCTCTGTTAGACGGGTGTACATTGCAAAGGAATCTGAATTCCTATACTTTTGGGTTGTACATATAAAAATTATCTGTACACTTCATCACACTTAGAAGTAAATTTTTCAAGAGAAGGCAAAGTTCTTTAAAAGGATTGACTTATTACTTTTCAAGATATAAAAAGTAATAAATCAAAACAATAAATAGTGTTCCATGAAAATAATGAAGTTAAAAATATTTCATTTAATTAGACCTAAATATCTAGGATAATACCAAAAACAATTGATCCTTCAAAAATATTTGATATTGTAAAGTTTACACCTTTTTGGAGTGACACTTGTTAAGTAGTACCCACTTGTTAACAGTCCCTTAAGTACTAAAAATAAAGTTAAACCAGCAATAACAAAAATTCTCACAAACTCACAGTAGAAACATAATTTGAAGCACAACTAATCAATGTTGCATGAATAGAAGAGGGAGCAACATGAAGTCCTTTCGCAAAGAATAGCATACCCATTGTATTAAATGTAACCATCAAGACAAGAAACAGAACAGTCATCAGGAAAATCCCCTCCTGAACAAAGGGAAAAGAAAGTTAATAAACCCACAAGCAATGTACAATGTACAATAGAAAATCTAAAACAAACTCTTACGATTGAACTTGAAAGTTTGCCAAACATACTGCCTATGGAAGAGCACACTCCTCCAACAAGTGAATAATGAAGAAATACAGTATTCCGAAAAAGCCTACGTCTGATTCTAAGAATGTTTTCCATTCTAAAAAAAATTTAAAGTATTTTTAAGTAAACAAGGAATACAGATTGATTAAGGAACCTTCATTGTGTACAATTGACTGTTAGTAGCAGAACTCCAGGTTCTGGAAGGTTATAAATCAGTGTTGACCTTAGCATCAAAAAAATAAAATGGGTACGACATAACTTCGTCAATTCTTCATCAAATCCAATTATTAACCACTCATTTTGAAGATATTCTCCTCCTTCACATGCACAAAATAGTCCTATCCCACCATAATTTCTGGGGAAAAGTTATGAAGGAACTTTATTTGCGAATAATTAAAAAAATATTCATTTTTTTCTGGATTGTACCCATGATAATTAGAAAGATTACTAAATTACCTATAAAACATAAAACAAACATAAATTCTTAAAATCGGACAATTATTAACAAACATACAGTCCATTAATTTTGGTAAACATAATAATTCCTTCCTCTTATAGCATTAACTATTCTTCTACCTTGTTTTTACAGGTTGGTATTTGCTTTATTATTTCTCAAAGGAATTTTTTGTTTGTACATGTTACCTTTTCAATCAGCGTTTAGAACTGGTCCTAGCAAAGCAATTTGTATAAATATTTTGGTCTATTATGTTAACTGGAATATTGTAATCGACCCAAGAAAAACAAGTAATTCCTTCTTTACATAATGCATAGGATCTAATTGTTTCTATATTGTTTTGCTATTCCTTCACTAAAGAAAATTGTCTGCGAATTATTCGCACGAATTATTATTATTTATTTATTTTGAATACAATAAATAAATACTTTATTTAAATTCTTAAACAGCGCTAATTACTTCAATGGAATCCATCAATCAATTGATTCCACCACTGATGATAAGAGATTTATGCTAAATTGAGCCACGACCTGTTGGATTCCAGCAAAATGTTCCAGCAATTCCAACTAAAATTAAAATTCCAGCAACACAACTGGAAATATACGCTTATTTGGAAATATACGCCTAAAATATTGATATAAAACGCATACTTTTATTGAGAGAGCGGCAGTAGATTAAAGAAGGGATGGCGAAATTAAGGTTGTCAATCCTGACAAAAATCTTAATTCTGGCCCTACCATTAAAAAAGATAGGAATAGTCTGATGAATTTTCAATCCCATCAATGAGCTTGAGTTTAGAAACTTGTTCCAACATGTAGGCGTGATTGAATATAACATAAAGTAAATAACGCCAATACAGCCCAGATGTGATACTTTATAGCGCCGAGCGCATAGAAGGCGCAATTATGGATATATATTAAAAAATTCCGACCCATAATATATATATATATATATATATACGGGTATATATATATATATATATATATATACAAACGGGTGTATATATATATATATATATATATATATATATATATATATATATATATATATATATACCCGTTTGTTTTAGTAAAGATGTGTCAAAAAAATGTTATCAATCGTAACTTTTTTTTGGTAAGGACGCAACCATTTTAAGATAATACTAATCAACATTCCCATAAATTCCCTTATCTTCAGCAACTTCGTATTCTAAGCCTTTTAGTCCTTGCTGTCTAACAACATGGAATTGAATGGGAAAGTTGCTTTAATTACCGGTGGTTCTCAAGGGATTGGAAGAGCATATTGCAATTATTTGGCAAATGAAGGCGTTAAGGTATAATTTTTCAATTACATTTATTGTAGTGAGAAATATTCAGGACGCTGTTATTATTAAGTTTTTATTGGTGTTTTATTAGGTTGTGTTTGGAGCACTAAAGGTATTCAAGTGAATACCTCACATGAATACCTTCAGTTGATTTTGTTTCTCTTTCTGTTGGCATTACAGACCATGTAGATCTTTTGTCCCCTTAATAAGCCTGCTGCATCTCTCCATGTATTGGGCTATTTCTTTCCATTTATCTGCACGCAGCTCTATTGCATCCTTGTTGATTCTGTCTATCCATCTGCTTTTTGGTCTCCCACGTGGTCTTTTGCCTTCTATTGAGGCATTCATTGTTACGTTACGTAGAGGCTTCCATATGGATTGCTACAAGCTACATGCCCCGCCCATCTTAACCTCCGTGCCTTCATATCATCCGGTATTGATTCACCAGTTTTTGTAGTTTCCAGATCGCTCCGGTTATTGTGCGGAGGTTTTTCCTCTCAAATCATTCAACACAGTACTGGCTTTATCATAGCATTGTAAACTCTTAGTTTGAGATTTTTCGGGATTGCAATACCTTTGAGAGGAAGAATAAAGCTCTGTTTGCGTTACTTATACATTGGTCTATTTCAGCTTGTTGGTCATTCATTGAGGTTATTGTGAAACCGAGGTATTTGAATATTTCTACCCTCGGGAATAATTTTGCTTCTACACAGATCCTGTTATTCGGGTGGACTTTTTGGCTTATTATGATGTATTTTGTTTGTCTTCATTTACTTGTAGGCCTATCTGCTCTGCCTCTCTCATCAGTTTTGTAGCGAGTTTCTCAATGTCTTCTTGATTACCACCAAGGACAGCTCCATGGTTGAATTATAATGATATTTTTTATAAGTACTTATAACCTAGGCTGTCGTGTGAGTTTTATATCAAGCGTTCCCCTCGCATTCCTCGAACTCATGTTTTTCCTCAGGTATTGAGAGAGGATGACAAATCTCACCTTAAGGATTTTTTGTGTGGATAGACAAAAATCTTACCCACGTCTTCTTTGAAAGAAGAGAAGGTAGACTTTGCACCAGAAAGGCCACCGAACATTGAAGTGGCAGAAGAAGACAATGACCAAACCTCAGGAAAGAAGAGTAAGCAGAGTGCAAAGCTCGATTAAATTTTATTTCTTAATTGTTTTCATAGGAGCAGTGTATTGCTACGCAGGCGTAACATACTATTGCTGATAGTACCAATGTTGCTTATCAGGCACGGTAGGGTTGGAAAAAAAATAGAAATCAACTTTTATTTTAAGTTTTCGTATATTTTGATTACATGTTTCAGGTTGCTATATGTGATATAAATGAAACAGAAGGGTTATTATTAGAAAAACAGCTAAACAAGGAAGAAAAAAGGTCAGTGTTTATCTACTGCGATGTGACGAACAATACTGAATTCGAAGGTTAGAATATTAATTTATTTTTCCTTTATTTCTCCAACAATCAATTATTTCAGTCAGTCAAAACATTAAATTTATTATAATATTGACGATTTGATAATTGATTCTTTTAGCGCCCTCCTACAAATGTTTCTATGAATATTTATGTGAATTTCTTTGGCGAAAATCAAATGAAAAATAAATGTTCTCCATAAATGAATTATTTAAATACGACTCATTGGATTAAGAATATTTATCTTAAATATTTTAAATTACAGATTAAATTTATTAATTATTTATTACATCCAATGAATAGACAGACTAATTACTTAACTATATTTATAGAGAAAACTAGTCTTTAAAGATTGTCTTTAAAACTTAATTATCTTCCATTTTAATGTGAATTTTCTATGAGCTCAGATATTTCAGCAATCGAAAAAAAAAAAATTATATCTTACCTGAGCCAGAATATACCAATTTGTATAAATGTGTTAACTAGAAAATTTATACCTCTTCCATTTAAATTTATCAATAGTTTCAGTGGCTCTTATGTTGCAGAATCTTTTAGAAAAGTAATATCAGAATTTGGTCAGTTGGACATTGTCGTGAACAATGCAGGTATTCTCAACGACCATCCAAATTCATGGGAAAAAGAAGTTGAAATAAATCTTGTAAGAATAAACATGTATTTCTTATCAATTAATTATTAAAACAAATTCACTAATTAAAAGGTGTAGTACATTAACTTTGGTTCGATAATCTCTTATACAAAACAGATTAATGAAAAAAATTCCATTTCCATTTATTGTTCTAGTAAAAAATACATATATTATTTATTTTTGTTGGTATAAATAATATATGTGTTTGTATACATGTTTGCATAATCCTGTTTCAGTGTGGAACTATAAGAGGTTCACTTCTGGGATTAAAATACCTGAAACATGGAGGCGCTATAGTGGCAACATCATCTCTGGCTGGTATTCTTAAAGATTCTGCATTTCCAATTTATGCGGCTACCAAAGGAGGGGTCAATTATTTTATGAGATCTTTAGGTGTAAGTTATAAACACATAAACTTAAATTTGGTCCGTTCGAATTGGGTTAGATGATTATCTCTACTAAAAAATATCTTTGTTTAATAAATAAAAAGTTGCTAAGAGTCAATGCCGCAACCAGGGGTGCCCATCTTCCTCCTCCCTCCCCCCAAGCTCGATGGCGCATGACACCCCTCCCTCATCCTCAAGATATTTTATTTCTCTTCTCTTCTTAAAAAAAAAAAAAAAATGGAAACTTAAACTGGTAAAAATTTAAAAATCATTGATCATATACAATTACACTTTCAGTGGTCTGTACTATGCTTTTCTCTTATCTCCTGGTTTGAAACTTTTCAATCCAAAAATTTATAACCCTGTCAAAATGTGCCTCCCCTCAAAAATTCAAACCCCCTCAAAATGTACCTTCCACAACAATGAAACCCCCTCGTGGACACACCTGACCGTAACTCGCAATTATTCCAAATCCTACACACTGACTTTGTAAACAGCGAGTTTATAAACATTTAAATTTTTTTACATTCACAATTAGTGAGGTGAGTGACTTTTTATTAGCAATTAGCAAATATTAAAGTTGAGCTCGTTTCCTAGAGATAGCTTACGTGGCAGTTAATTAATTCCTCTCTGTGTGTCTTATCTTTCAAGGTCACGGTCACGGACTTTAGCATTACTAGCTTCAGAAAATTTCGAGTTCGTCTGCAAGCAAAGACAGTATATTTAATTTTTTTTTATACTGAGACTTTTTAATTTATTTTTACCGAAAATGTTTTATTTAATATTTGTATATAGATTGTAAATAGATTAGTTTTTAAGTATATATTTTGTAAATTCTCTCATTAGTGCTTCTTTTTTTTGTATATATATACTATTCATTTACCACTTTCTTTGCACAATTCTTTATTAGTCATTTTCTTCCATGCATTACTAGTTCTGTCGCATAATATGACTAAATTTTTTTAAGATTAGTTATAATAGGCCTGTCAAACTGTAACAAAAATTTATTATATTAAAAAGCACGTATCTTTTTTTAAAAAGTTATATTTATGGACTTAAAATTGGTTAAAAATGGTGCTGAGGGAGCTATTAACTTTGGCATTAATCCCACTTCCTCTCGTCATGACCCGGAGAAGTCCCCATATATCCTATAAGAAAGATGTAGGAACGGAAAAATAAAACGTCAGATTTATATAATTTAAGTTATTTAGATCATTGCTGTTGGATGAAACTCTTGATGTTTTTATGGACAAGAATAAAACATGAATTTCATCGAAACAAGTATATTACATCTGCATTTTTTAAATTATATAAATATTTTAGACGATATAGATATGAGCTGGAAAGATTTCATCTGTATCTTTTTTAGTTTTCGGAAGCAGCCACTGCCAAAGGAATAAGAACTTTAGCTATAGCTCCAAGCCTAACTGATACAGCAATAACTGAGCAATTAGTCGGAAATAACACTATGTGTCCAGAGCTCCAATTAGTAGCGCAGAAACGCAGTGAGCGAATGTATAAACAGAAGTATGTTTATTTATTTTTATCTATTTTTTACTTTCACTTACGTGCATATGTAATATATAGTAAGGGTAAGTATTGCGATTGTGAAAATTTTCGAATCTCAGTTTTCAACAGAAATACGTGTTTTGAGGTCTCCTGAGTCCAAATAACCAAGTGTCGCAAAATGGTCTGTATGTGTGGGTTAACAGTCTGGCTCATAAACGAAAAGTAGTGCGAAACTGATATTAAGTATATAAGGTTTATATATGGGCCGGATGTGATAGCAACTTTTTCATTAACAACTTTCGGCTAACCGGAAGTGCAACTTTATATGAACGCTGAAACTCATTTTATAATTTTCTCAAAAACGGCTCTAACGATTTTGATCAAACTTGGTGTATCATTGTATAATTAAGTGGTCTTTAATATCATTTAGGTCTTATCCCCGTTGATGTCACTTTACAGTGCTTAAATGCCCAATGTTCACATACGTCTTCCTCTAAAGTACCTTTAATATGGTTTATTTTAAAAAGTTAATCATTTCGCATTATTCAGAGTTACGAAAAAATGCTAAATATAACTTTTGAAAGAATTTGATAAGTTAATTAAGGAGAAAAAAAAATAAAAATTCAGAAAAACCTGCGTTGCTATATACTGTAGCGCCTAAAGAATGTACTGATTTCAATGAAACTTCGCTAAAGTCATTTTCTCGACACCCTTTAAATTTACTTCAACGAAAAGAAGCTGGAAAAAAAGTTGCGAGGGATGGTAAAATTTAATTCCGAATAACTCAATGGTTTTTTAAAAGTTTACTGAGTTTCCTAAAAAAAAAAAATCGTTAAAATCAGACAATTAGGAGGACATTTTTTTCTCTGAAGAGGCGAAAGCTTGGATAAATTTAAAATATACTTTTTTAATTGTTGAGACTAAAAAAAACTTTTTTCTACAGATATTTAATAAAGTATCTTTCCTAATATCATCTTTCATAAGAAAGAAGTACCTAGATTTATACTTTTATTCTCAGTTCTATATTTCAACGCTGCAATCACCACCTCTGGAATCAACTTACTCACTGTCTGCATAGATAACTTTTTCAACTAAAAATATAACTAAAATGATATTACTCAAAAATGTTGAAATTGGAGTAACTCATTCTGTGGTTTATAAAAGCAGATGGAGTGACTAGATTTTTATTGCCTACCGTCAGTATATTAAATAGACATTTTGTAATCATAATGGTCTTGATGACATGTTATCTGTAAGCTTCGTTTAAAATGCACTTCAAAAAGTTTTATAATATCCCAGCATTGCCAGAAAATAATTTCAATTCAAAGTAGAGCGGTAAGTGAAAGTTGTGTTTTGCGTGCACCAGATTTTTTCTTTATTTAATTATATTACATTACATACAATAACAAAAAAAAAGATAAAAAATAAAATAATTAATTATGAATTAAAATTATTAAGTGCAGACCGTACTCGATTACTTAGACCACTATGGCGCGAGGTCGATTCCCTATATTTCCTCATTGGCTTTGAAAAATTATTAACTTTTCAATGTTTTAAATTATTTTTACTTTAATTAGATGAATTCTTTAAATAAATAAAGTTGTTATTTTGATTAGGTTAGTTTCTTTTTATTTATCTGCATTTACTTTTAGTATTATTATTTTGCTGTTTGATTTATTTTTATTTATTGTAGAATGAGCTTGAAGCGTCCTTGAATTTGACAGAATGTAATATTTGTCAATAAAGAATTACAAAAAAAAAAAAAAAATCAATTCTGAAAAAGTATTGAATAATACACGTTCAATATAGTTGCCAAAACAGGCTGCTAAAATTTTTAAAAATATTTGTTGATATCTTTTAAGAAATATTTTGAGCTTATTTATTTATTTATTAATAGCGTGCTTCTCTTATTACTTTCAGGCCAGAAAGTGTAGCAGCTTGCCTGATTTATGCCCTCAAGGAAGCAACATCAGGCTCAGTTTGGCTTGTCGCAGATGACAACTGGCAACAAATTAATTATGATAATCTCCTCCATTGAACAATTAATTATTATTGGATATTTGTACTTATACAAAGGCAAGTTGGCGGACTAGTAGTACACTGCTTTATTTTTATCTGAAAAATGAAGAATACTTTATTTAAAAATGTTTATTGATACTGGAATACCCCAGCGAAAACTATGACATTAGATACACACCCTTCTTCCAAATCCATTCTTTTACAAAAACTTTTACTTTACATTCGACGTAATTTTACATTTAAATCGCTCTATGAATATACTGTTTTAGTTTTTTCAATCATCAATATAAGCTCACTTTTTTTTTTTTTTTTTTTTTTATTTCGAATATTATATTTTATATTATAACATAGTTTTCACGATTTTTGTTTTCTTAATGTTTGATCTCCTGTGTAAAGTATAAATAATCCTACTCTTCCAGTGGAACTGATATTGAGTTTATTAATGATAATTGTTATTATCAATATTTATATTTATGAACATGATGTGAAGGGTTTGTTGTATAACTTATTTAAGGCGACCACCTTGATATAGAGTTAGGACTCCATTAAATCAATGTAAACATAATTAGTCGTCTTCAAACGACAACAAATTATAATGCCAATTATTAATATAGATAAAAGTGTTCAAATAACTAGAAATATAAAATACCTGCTGCCGTACACTTCATAATAAGTATATTTTACCATAAAATATTTTTACTATGTGAGTCTGTAGTAAATCAGCATTCATTCAATTTTGTCTTCTTTTTCTGTATCATCTTTTTCTTTATCCTCTTTTTCTTTATCCTCTTTTTTGTCTTCTTTGTTTTCTTCTTTGTTTTCTTCTTTTTTCTCTTCTTCCTTTCCTTTTTCTTCTGGTTGTTTTTCTCCTTCAGCCTCTTCTTTCGTCACCGACGCAGCTGATGGACGTGGACCCTCATCTGCTACCATTTCAGTATCATCTGGTCTCATACTGCTCTGCCTGAGCTCATCTTCATCTAGGTCCATTTCTTCAGAGAACTCTTCCGAACCTTCTTCCTCCATTTCTTCCTCAAGTTCTTCCTCTACACCCCCATCTTCTGGAGGGGGCCCCCATGGGTCTGGCTCAGCAACTTTATCAACCATTGGAGGAAAGAATGTTTCCACCTGAACAAATGATATCATAACTTTTTAATTTTCAATAAGCTCAACAAAACCTTTTAATAATCAGAAAATATTTAAATATGAAAAAGTTCATTGATTATCTTGTTACTATGTTGTTATGTGATTAGTTGAATATCTTATTGTAGTTAATAAATAAAAAACTCAGTTTGAATAATGTGTACCACTATAAGTAGATTTTTAACATTTATTAAAATGTGTTTTCCATTCAAACAATAAGCATTGACCACATTATTGTACAATTAATATTCATCCGATGAAACACTGTTACCATCTAGAATAGAATAAAAATCAACTTAAGTATTACAGTACATACCAAAATAATGGTCAATTCCGGCCATAAGACTGATTACATAAACAGGAATTAAAGAAAACACCTTAATAATCAATTATCACAAAATAAAACATAAAAACAAATAAACTAAAAAACAGATGAGAAAAGGTGAAATAAAATATTTGCTACTTAAATAGAATGATAAAGAAAGGGTCATTAAAATAACCATAGCAGCAAACATTCTTAACTACCAAAGAAAAAGATAAATAACTAAATTGCAATTTCTGTCAATTAAAATATGTGTAACTATTTAAACATTATTGTTGAGAAGTTCTGATGAATAAATACATAATAAATAAAACATAATTACATATGAATAAAACATAATAGTAAACATTAACAAAGGACTCTGTACAAAGTAATATGTATTATGTAATCATAATCCTTATAAAAAACACGTATAAGGCAAAATTAAATCCTAATTATATAATACATATTTAACAATCGTCTGCTTGAATTATGAATCGCGAATAACCCAAAAAAAAAAAATAGAATTTAGCGTAATTTAGACGCTCACGTATTAAATATTTGCTACCTTATCGCTTCCTATTCGACAAAATACGTGATTTTCTTTAAAAAGAAGACAAAACTGAAATTTTCTACTTTTCTGTGGAAATATTACAAATAAGTTCTTTAATATTTTTTTTATTCATGAAACTCACAACTTCATAACTTAAATATACATCTAGTAAATGTGTACAGAAAAATACAATAGCATGAAAAGAATTGTATAGAATCTACCCCTGAAGAGAATCTAGCCCTCTAATAATGTATTTAAATTAAGGGATAACGAGGCCATCTTCTTTTCAGACGACTCGGGGGTTAACAGAGATCGAAGAGGAATATTAGAAACGAGAGGATTAGGATGGCTCTGAAGTTTATTGTGGAAAGATAGGTACATTGTTAGATTGGGCCAAACGTATGGAACATTAATATCGTTATGGATGATTTTATTTGTAACAAAGTAAGGAGCATTGAGGATTTTACGGACGATTTGGGATTGTAAGGATTGGATACGAGAGGAATTCAATGGCTTAGTGGAGTCCCAAATCTCAACTCCATATGTCTAAATAGGCCTTATCATAGTAATTTATATTGTCATGTATACTCTTTAGTAGTTCATTGGGAGTTTAGACCGTTTGTATAGTAAGTACTGAATTAGTCGGAAACGTCGAGCGGTTTCTTGTCTTTTTAATCTGGTATGAGGTTCCAAGTTATACGTTTGTCGAGGTGCCGTTCTATTTAATTATTTAATAAATAAAATTCTTCCTCTTATTACAACAGTACATATTATGTAGTAACATACCTCTTTCAAGCCTTGTCTTACGTCTGGAGAGATGTAGAGGGGACCCATAGATGCCAAAATTAGCATTGGATCACTTGAAGTTCTTTCAAGGGCCAATACCATTTTCAAACCACTAAAAATAAGATATATGTCAACATGATCATTAAGCTCACCGCGAATATTATTATCTCATCTACAGTTTCATCTATTACTTTGATACATTTTAATAGGTTCAAACACAACATCCCTATTTAATTTCTCTCAGCATTACAAAATCAATTATAATTAACCAGTATAGAACTTTATTAAGAGCATAATTAATTCTTGTTTATATTACATTACTACTTGTTACATTATTCTCTTGTCTTGCTCTTAATCGTACAGAATATGTTACAGAGGCGCCTAGTGAAGTATACGGGCGCCTACATCCCACACAACGGTTTTGATTATGACTCACATTATTGAAGCTTTTCGATGTTAGTTTGTGAGTGGATTGGATGCCAGAAATAGTAATGTAAGGGTGAAAACTAGTCCGGAGTATTTAGAGGATGACAAATATTTGTAGTTTATGTAAAATGTATTGTTTTTCTCGTTTTTTTACTCCGTCTTCAATTCAGTCGAAAAGAGGAGTCACTGCCAAAATACGATTTATTGCTTACATTTAGTTATATAATATCTAAAATACTGTAATAAGACTAGAAATGGATAAGATGGGTTAAAAGAATAGGCATCAAAATTAAGCTTTTCCTCTGTTAAAAATCCTAACCCCAGTCCCAGGGGATTAATCCAATTTCAGTGGGAAACATTGAGAATCAGGAAGGATACTTGTACCTGTATTGTATTTCAAAATGAAAATGAATTATTATAATCATCTTCACATCAAATGCACCATTTACTTTAACGCACATAATGTTTCCGAAATGTGATGCTAATACTAAAATCTAGCAATGTTGCTTTGATTATTTCAAAAACTACGAGTTGCTATTTCATATTCTCAATAGGGACAGAACTTATTTATAATTTTCTCATTCTCTCTTAATACCTTATTGGCAAATCCATTTATGGGCATTTTACTATCGCAGGTAAAATCGTTCGAATTACAAGCACTGATTTAATTTATATAAATTTAAAAAAGTTAAAATCTCTAATAGAATGAAGTACCATGGAACAATTCTTATTTAGTACGCGCTATAAGTGTTCATGTCTCAAGTCATTGTTTATAATTAAAAAATTTGCAGCTCCATAGCCTATTGCATATTATATTCCCCATTACAATTAAGAATTATATCGGTAATTACCATATTTTCTTATTATTAATACTTTATTAATACAAAAATACCCCATTTCATTTCAATTTTTATATCAGATAACTCTAAAATATTTAATAAAGTCCTCACAGTCTTTGAGCCTTCGGTAACCTCTCATATTCATGAACTGTCTGGCATATCATTTCTGCTTCATCGGGGTTTTCTGAATCGAAGAATCCAACGTGCATTACGTTTGAGGCGAACTGCAACGCTGTGTCCAAAACTTCACGAGCTCTCCGTGCTTCGAAAATCACTACGTACTATAAAAAATTATTGGATCAAATCTATTTATCAAGAAGGTCTCATAGCAGTTTTTTTTTTTTTTTTTTTTTTTTTTTTTTTTTTTTTTTTTTTTTTTTTTTTTTTTAAGTGAATGATAAATACATTGCAACAAATTTAATTCAATTAGACCATTCTTTTTTTATTAAAGGAATTTCCTCGCATAAATAAATTTCAACTGAAGAATACAAATTTATGAAGAGGTCTAAATATTGATCGTGGAAGAACATACGTATAGCAATGCCCGTATTTATGAGTTTTAAAGAACTCTAAAAACGAATGTAACTTCCTTTTACATAGGAAAGATTTGCATGGTCTGCTTTATGCTGGAAACTTCTTTTAGTTTTTGTTATTTAAGATACTTAATATATACTAAGATAATAATATGTATTAATTCATACATTCAATACTATAATAAATATTTTTTCCTCATTCTGTACAAAAAAATAATCGATTAATATGTAATAATCTAATAATCCGGGCAAGGCAAAGGAAAAAAATTAATAACATAAACGTTGTTCTAAATTATATAAAATATTTTTTTATCGGTCCCTACGGCGCATTGGCAAGAACCATCGGACATGGGTCCAATATTTTTCGACCTAGTATCATCAAAAAAAGTTTCATTGAAATCGATGAACCCATGTTCGTATCCTCTCCATGTAAGTTTATTCCTAATATACTTTCTTAAGCACTTAGCATTAACGTATTCATGCATTGCCACATTTTATATTTAAAGATTAATGGATTATTTGTTAATAAAAGAGACGTAAACATAATCATTATTACAGATGAGGGAGGAAGAGGGTCCATTTTCACTTCTAATGCTTCTACGATCGCTGGGAACAGAACTTCAATGGCTGCTGACTTAGAAACATGCTCCCTCGGGGTCCAAAATGGTGGAACCGCAGTCCCATTAGGGGTGTAGAACATAAACTCCGCACAAGGTCTGAAAATAAATAGAAAAAAAATGATAAGTTTTTTTTGGAAAAATATTAATACAACTAACTTCACCATTAGAGTGAATGAATTTTAAATTTTTATCCGTCAATGAAGTTTAGGTTATAAAAAGAAAAAGCCTGGCATTTTCTGATGCATATTTGCCAAGATAATTAGCCTTAAACATAATAGTCTGTGGGCCAGACCCCCTTACCGTGCACCCCCCCCCCACATCCCTATAAATTGCATATCGTTGTGTTCCTTGTAACTATTTATTAAAAAAAAGCCAATGTTCCCACAAAAAAAAGTGAACGCACTGCCCCAAAATGGCGTCCAAACATGGCGGATTGACGACTTTGAGTTTAGTTAGTTTTTTGGTCACTGAGAATCAGCATTTGGCTTAATTTCCTCATAGTTGGTCTTTTATTAAAGCTGAATAGTCATAGAATAATAAACCATGAAGAAATATTAAAAAATAATTGGCTTAGGCTATGAAAACCACTACTAAAGTCAATTTTTTTAACAAAAAAATTTTCAAGTTAAAAATCAAGCGTCATTTGTAATTAAACGGCCAACAATAACGCAAAACGTGCTGAAATAAACCATCTGGAGAATATATTTTTCTTTCCAAAACGCTGATTATTTTTTAAAAACTTTTAAACAGTTCCGTAGAAAATGCACTTATGCGGCAGAAAAGCGGTACTGGCGCGGGTGCCTACAGGCCTCTACCACACCATTCAGTACACATAAATGGCTTAGTTAAAGTGATATAATAACATTTTTTGTACATTATATTGGTTTTATTAACGAACAAATATTAATGCAATAATTTAATCGTAAAAAAAAAAAAATTAAAATTTTTTAAAAAAATTTATTATTATTTTTTTTATTTAACCTTCTTTATTCTACACGTAGGTCGTTTAAGAAGACCTTGATTGTAAAAATGATATAATTATAATAATAAAACTTAATTAAAAAACTTTGCTAAATATCTTGATTTTTTTATTATTTAACGTTTGCAATTTAACACTGTGTTTTGTATATTTACTGATTCTTAAAGGTAATTAAAATTTATATATACTTCCCAGGAAATGAGTCGTATTAATACCTGTTTTATAAACTAAAATAATATATACCTAATCTGAACTATATATAATGAATAGCCGCTGGGTTGTATAGTAAAACTCATATATCACTAATTAAAAAATTAATTTTTATTTCCTTTATTTTGTGCGGAAGTTGTACTATAGCATAAATAAATAGGAAATTTTATTATTGAATGAATTATTCTCTCTGCACAAAGAAAGATAGAAAGGTGGACGCTATAAGTTCTTCTATAAACCAGAACTGATTGTTTGGATTTGGTCTTGAAATGAGGAAAAAGGCGAAATTGAACACGAAAACTTGAAAAATACATTAAGCGAACGAGAAAGGAAGTGCCAAAACCTTGGAAAAGATAAAAAGGACCAGTATCCATTATACGGCTAAACGAATGTATAGTAGACAGATGAAGAGAATATTTCAAGATGTTGCTAAAAGGTGGGTCAATTGCAGTTTGGATGATATTAAGTGGACGATGTGGGTTTATTATGGTAAAAACCACCTTATTTTCGATTGCTGAAGGTGCACATTGGGACTATCTTCACTTTGAAGCAGGATGTAGAGAGGTATATCGAGTTATAGCTCATAGCTCTTCTTCTGTTTAGTGTATTTGCAAAAGATTTTTCAAGGAATCTTATGTAAGTTATAGCTCGTTATTGTTCAGAAATTGCGGAATAAATTTTTCGGAAGTTGTACCATATCATAAAAAAATAGAAAATTTTAATATTGAATGCATTATTCTCTCTGCACAAAGAAAGATGGAAAGGGCGAAACCGAACTGCTTCGCACAGTTTAGCGCATCGTTAGGCAACAAGTATCCAAACTCTTTGGATGATATTAAGTGGACGATGTAGGTTTATTATGGTAAAAACCTCTTTATTTTCGATTGCTGAAGGTGCACATTGGGACTATCTTCACTTTGAAGCAGGATATAGAGAGTTATATCGAGAAAGTTATAGCTCATAGCTCTCCTCCTGTCTAGTGCATTTGCAAACGATTTTTTAAGGAATCTAAAAGGAAAACCTGCTTTTCTGAAAGACAATTAGATATTAGCACAATCCAAAGAGTAAGGCACTAAGCAGATAGAGAGCTATTTTTCGTTGTATATAGACTTCTCTATAACCTGCCTTAAAGTGAAGTCAGTCTCAATTTTCAACTTCTCTTCCAATGTGCAACTTGAGTTTCTCAATCCATATCGCTCTGGCAATCGACAATATTTCTTATTCCAGCTTCTACGATTCTTGAGTATAATTTCTTTGGTACACTAAACAGGAATGGATCTTGATGGGTATTTCCTAGTATCTCCTTTCATATTATTTTCTAACATACTTGTTGCCTATGTATGCGCTAAACTGTGCGAAGCAGTTCGGTTTCGCCCTTTCCATCTTTCTTTGTGCAGAGAGAATAATGAATTCAATATTAAAATTTTCTATTTTTTTATGATATGGTACAACTTCCGAAAAATTTATTCCGCAATTTCTGAACAATAACGAGCTATAACGTACATAAGATTCCTTAAAAAATCTTTTGCAAATGCACTAAACAGAAGAAGAGCTATGAGCTATAACTCTATATACCTCCCTACATCCTGCTTCAAAGTGAAGATAGTCCCGATGTGCACCTTCAGCAATCGAAAATAAAGTGGTTTTTACCATAATAAACCCACATCGTCCACTTAATATCATCCAAACTGCAATTGACCCCCTTTTAGCAACATCTTGAAATATTCTCTTCATCTGTCTACTATACATTCGTTTAGCCATATAATGGATACTGGTCCTTTTTATCTTTTCCAAGGTTTTGGCACTTCCTTTCTCGTTCGCTTAATGTATTTTTCAAGTTTTCGGGTTCAATTTCGCCTTTTTCCTCATTTCAAGACCAAATCCAAACAATCAGTTCTGGTTTATAGAAGAACTTATAGCGTCACCGTTTCTATCTTTCTTTGTGCAGAGAGAATAATTCATTCAATAATAAAATTTCCTATTTATTTATGATATAGTCCAACTTCCGCACAAAATAAAGGAAATAAAAATTAATTTTTTAATTAGTGATATATGAGTTTTACTATACAACCCAGCGGCTATTCATTATATATAGTTCAGATTAGGTATATATTATTTTAGTTTATAAAACAGGTATTAATACGACTCATTTCCTGGGAAGTATATATAAATTTTAATTACCTTTAAGAATCAGTAAATATACAAAACACAGTGTTAAATTGCAAACGTTAAATAAAAAAAAATCAAGATATTTAGCAAGTTTTTTAATTAAGTTTTATTATTATAATTATATCATTTTTACAATCAAGGTCTTCTTAAACGACCTACGTGTAGAATAAAGAAGGTTAAATAAAAAAATAATAATAATAAATTTTTTTAAAAAATTTTAATTTTTTTTTTTTTACAATTAAATTATTGCATTAATATTTGTTCGTTAATAAAACCAATATAATGTACCAAAAATGTTATTATATCACTTTAACTAAGCCATTTATGTGTACTGAATGGTGTGGTAGAGGCCTGTAGGCACCCGCGCCAGTACCGCTTTTCTGCCGCATAAGTGCATTTTCTACGGAACTGTTTAAAAGTTTTTAAAAATAATCAGCGTTTTGGAAAGAAAAATATATTCTCCAGATGGTTTATTTCAGCACGTTTTGCGTTATTGTTGGCCGTTTAATTACAAATGACGCTTGATTTTTAACTTGAAAATTTTTTTGTTAAAAAAATTGAATTTAGTAGTGGTTTTCATAGCCTAAGCCAATTATTTTTTAATATTTCTTCATGGTTTATTATTCTATGACTATTCAGCTTTAATAAAAGACCAACTATGAGGAAATTAAGCCAAATGCTGATTCTCAGTGACCAAAAAACTAACTAAACTCAAAGTCGTCAATCCGCCATGTTTGGACGCCATTTTGGGGCAGTGCGTTCACTTTTTTTTGTGGGAACATTGGCTTTTTTTTAATAAATAGTTACAAGGAACACAACGATATGCAATTTATAGGGATGTGGGGGGGGTGCACGGTAGGGGGGTCTGGCCCACCGTGTATAAGTGTTGGGGACGAAGCTACGTCACAAGAATGGAGATACGGCTACGTCATTGCCCGTTATCTGCAGACGTTATACATATACATATACTTCCAAAAACCATGGGTTGAATTAACTGTGAGAGTAGCATAATAGTAGTAATTAGATAGTAAATTTTTCGTTTGAATGAGGTAATACAGACGGATATTTTAATTATTGTAATTTCTAAAGAATTAATATAATGACACGTTAAAAAATATAATATAGTAACGATAGTTTAAGGCCAATATATCCATTTCTTGATGAATGATTGACACCAATTATTTAGCAATATGTAGAATATTTCAAATGAAACAGTACGAACCTCAGCAGGAAGGTATGAATGTTTGAAAAACGATTTATTGGACTTTGAAATTTTGGTATCTAATAAACTTTATTCATTAATCCCCATGAGATCGATTGTGATTTTTTTTTCATTCAAATGATACTCTCACATTCAAATAGGGAGAATGTTCCAAGTGAAACTGTAAGAAAATTTACCGAGAGGAAAAAAAGTCGAAATATCAGTCTTTGGAATATCGTATATTCAGCGTATCAATAGTTATAGGCTGATATTTCTATCGTTGACAATATCGGTATTGGCTTCCCATCACTACTTTATTTATTCGGCGCTCAATCGATGCTTTGTGCGTTTCCTTGAAATGTTTAAGAGAAGAAGAAACATCAAATTGGCTGAAAGGAATCTTTTTTCATTGAGTTTCACCAACGTATGACTTTTTGATGGGACATTCAAGTGGAACTAGAGGAACGACTATAGACACACAATGTGTGGTCTATCGAACAGTATTTTATATGAACTGTCATTTTTAATTTTTTCTGAGAATTTCTCATGTTATCCATGTCTCTCTATACCCATAATAAATCATGTATGCTAATGTATATGTAAATATGTGTGATAGTTAAACCTACGAGCCTGCAGTTGGGTCCAGCGGATTCATACTTTCGCCGTAGGCTAAGTTTGCGACTCGTGTCTCAGCTTCATCCAAGTGTTCGATGGCTTCCAGCCTGATCATGGAAGATGTTTTCAATTCCAATTCCCTTGTTTCGAACTCTGCCAACAGAGTAGCAATGACTGGTCGTTTCTCAAGGCTTCTCAGAAGAATTCGAGGAAACAGGACTCCAGAATTATAGAATAGCTGCAACAAATATATTATGAAAATAACTTCGTATAACAAAATAAATTCTATAACAAATGGCACAAATTACGCCATCAAAATTTTAGAGGGAGGCCTATTTTGACGGGTTCTTGAACTTTTGAGGGGGGAAAACTTCGACGGCGTTATGAATTTTCGGACAAAGGGACAAGGGAAATACATGCAACAGACCATAGCAAGTGTAATTGCATATGATCGACGATTTTTCTAATTCTACTTTAGTTTGCTATGTTTTTAAGAAAAGGTGAATAATAAAATATCTTGGCTTGAGGGAGGAGTGGGGTAGGTTCTTGCGTCATCGACCTTGGGAAGGGGATGGGCACCCCTGATCGTGGAGTTAAGATGGGCAGGACATGCAACTCGGAGGAATCCATCTGGAAGCCTCTACGTCATAGGCGCAGACTACGGATGGAGCGGGGAGTGGGGGGGGGGAGAGTGAAATGGGCGATCGCCCCTTCCCCCCAATAAAAATGTTGAAGAGGACGAGAATATCGTTTTTCTCTCCCCCCCCCCTCCCCAAATAATCTGAAGTATAAAAAAAAATTAAAATTGATGACAAATAAGATACATAAATTACTAAAATATGTTAACTAAAATCGATAAAGAAAATTCGATTAGCTTGCTTGGTTAAGGTCTATAAGTAGGTAAGTAATTATTTTACCACAAGTTAAATATTCCTATTATTTAAATTTGCATTTATATACTCCATTTCTTATACATTTTCTACGATAAAGTTGGAAAAATATTCTTAATAATTATAATAGTAATATTTTATAGAGCATATTTTTACATTACTAGTTAGACCGTGAAAGCGTTGCATTTTTATTTGAAGGTTGTGCAAACTAAGAAATGTTGTTTACATTATTCATTTTGAACTGGAAAAGATATAGAAATGTACCTATGTTATAAAGGCCGTCTCACTCCTTCCTTGTTGAATGTATACAAATTGTAATAAATCCAATTGTTTCGCTCAGGTATTTTCAAGTATATGCACTTCAAAAATTTCTACAAGTTCCAAACAATAATATAAATTTATTTTTAAATATCCAATATTGTATTTGCTCGTTTCACAATAATTATGTTTAATTTTTATACATAATAAGAATTGCTGCATTTTTTTTTTTTATATCCTTCGCCCTCCTCCCTCGGCCCATTCCCCTCCCCCCAATCGAAATGGATAATCTGCGTCTGTGCTCTACCCGACAATGAATGACACAATACTATGCAAGATACCACATGAAAGGCCCAAAAAACAGATACCTAGAGATAACGGGAAAGACATATCCCAACATATATAGAGATGGATCAGGCTTGTCAAGGCTGCAAAAGATCTATAGCGCCCGAAATGCCAATGGAAAAACATAAAATGAAACAATTTACAAAAAGTTTGTATTTTCAATATAATTAATATTAACAATAATAATTTATATGTCATTTCCTTAATCATTACTTTGGGTATTGTTTCTTTTGTAAGTTGAACTTCCAGTTGATCTTTGATATTCATGTGAGCAACGTCATACTGACCCATAAGTCTGTTAGAGGGCGGGCAGATCTCCTTCCCTCCTTCAATCACCTCCACAGTGTGAGGGAAAAAAACCACCACCGATAAATTGGTGATATAGCGTGCGACTCGTTCGTAGTAGCGATGCCGAATTTTATCCCACTGTTGCTCTGAAACCATCAATAAATTGCATTAGTTAAAATAATATCTTGATTAAGAAAATTAAATTGACTTCAAAAAATAATATCATTATATAAATAGACAAAGGGTATTTCATAATTATAATACAGCTCTGGCTCTTTGTTTCCAACATATTTTCTTATTTATTTTTTTGCTTAGTAGCTATTGATGAGCTTAAGTGTTATCAATAAAAAGCTGAATGTTAGTTTGTTTAAGTTTTCTTTTCCTTTTTTTTTTTACTATTGTATATATGTTCGAAAGAGTCTCTTACAACTCAAATACTAATGCCCTTAATTGAGGCAAAGAGTATTTTTGCTTAATAAAAAAAAGATATTAAAGTTTATTTAAAACAACTATCTCCTAAAGTTCTTCACCGATTGCTTTGAAATTTTGTTACACCTTGCAGAAGTTTGTTTTTATATACGCTTCATTACCATAATTTCGTTTCGAAATGGCGGCCGACAAACGTGAGTTGCTAAGACTAATAAAGGGCCAAAAAGCCTGCGATGATTTTAATGAGACTTGGCATCTCCTTCAAGCCTTTTTTTTAAATTTATCTATTGAGAATACTTCCTCACTCACTGTCCTGTATAGCCAAAAAGGCGAGGAAGGTGTGAACAAAAAAAAAAGAAGAATACCTTATACAATTTTAGCATCCATTTTTCCTAACAGTCCAAGAGCCGAGCCGAAATTTTGTGATTAAAAAAAAAAAACTATAAACCGCTATAATTTCCATTCAATTTGTTCTAGTCTAGCTCAAAGCGGGGATATTTCTAAATGGTGGTCATACTTATAAATTAATTTATTTGAAGATGAAACTGATCAAATCAACCTGAAACTGTTTACCCTCTAGATACCATTTATACAACCATCTATGTTTTTTTCTCAATTTTGGGCTATTTTAGACACTCATTATCTACTTCAATCACCAATGTTCACCTAAACAGAAAACTGTTACACGTTTTAGTCTGTAATTTTTAACGTATACCAGTGAGCTAGATTTTGAATCTTTGTATCTAACTACATGTTACGTTAGCAAATATGTGAATCTTAACCACGCCTTTAAAAGCAGTGATAATAATTGTGTTGCAGGTGGAAAACTCTTGTTTTAGGAAAAAGGATTTACTGAAGCATTGAGAAAAAGAAACAATGTTTCTTTCGACTAATCTAAGAAGAAAATATTTACTTCATTGAGCGTGCAAATTACAAATTTGATTTTGTAACAATTATTTAATATTTCGAGAGAAAATTAGGCGATCCAAGACATAACTTATTTTAACATTAATAAGAGATACATTCTTAACAATAAGGCATTTGAAAGATTGCATAGTAAACCTAAATTCAAATTAGTTGGTAATATTAAAATATCTTATTACTGTTATCCATCTACTTTTTTTTTTTTTTTTAATGCGTGGCGGATATAAAACTTCAAACCCTTGTCACTTTGCCTATAAAATGTACCTTCGTATGCCCTGACATTATGAAAAATTAATTATTTCTACTTATTACTTATTATAAATAAAGAAAAATTGTACTATGATCAGAAAAGAAAAATGCATTCGTTTCTATATACAATACAAGAAAAAATAGAGCGTTAAGTGATTGCTCTGAATTTGCTTGCAATGCCCAATAAGAATATGGGTATTTAACACCAGATAATGAAAAAGAAATCGATGATCTCGGTTTAAATGATATTTTTTTTATAGAAATGTTATATTTGGACATTTCCACGAAATATTAAAAATATAATAGTTTTAGACAACAAATGATTTACAAATCATTTGATGACTTTTTTATTAATAAAAGATTAGTCTGGATGAGAAAAAATTATTTTATTGTCAATAACATGGCTTCTAGACTTTTGCCCCGCTAGATTCGCAATAGGCCATACTGTACGTCGCATCCGAAAGTAAATTTCAAAATCCACGTTTTTCACTCGAAAATGCATTTTTGTACCTATTAATGAAAAAAAAAAACTATCCTACAAATTTATTTTGATAGACCACATTACAGTGCATTCGGGCAGCTTTAATTTAAACTCTGTTGTTACGTTCAACAGTTCCAGAATAACGGTATGTTTTTTTTTTTACGAGAAATTTGAGATTTTATCAAATATGAAATATGCTACTCCTGCGAGTAGGTTATAATAATTAACTTCGTTTTAGCATTTCTTGTAATAAAATTAGTTTTTAAAAAACTCAAAATAGTCAAGTGAATCAATTCATCTTTTGTATTATGTTTCATTAACAATAAAAGCTGTCAAAATATTAATATAATCATTCCTTGCATTATTGCTCTTAGATGTAATCCAAAAATTTATAATAAAGTAGCTCACCGATGTCTTTCTTTTTTTCCTCTTCTTCTTTAAGTTTTTTCTTCATTTTTTCAGACTGTTTCTGTTCTTCTTCAGGTGTAAGCTCTTTGAGACTTCGCTTTATTTAAAATTGGGAATTTGTAATTAATTAGTTAAAGCATTAATGTCTAATGTATGATAACTCGAATCCCAATATCAAAGCCTCTTTAGTTGTAGATGATAATACTTTAAATGGTATTTCGAGAATGGCCGAATGTGTACGAAATTAGACGGAAGTGAGTTGGGGGGTTTGTTTATTTCTTATGAGCTAGCAAAGAGAATGAAAGTAGATAGCAGCGATGTAATAAAAGTTATTCGACATCGATTTTAACTGAAATGAAGCTGTTGGGAATTTGGGGAAGTTGTAAATAGCGATCTAAATAAGTAGTCCGTGGTACAGACCACTTTTTTTCAAATTATTATCCGCCTAAAACTGCGTGAATAGGTTATGGTAACCTACAACATTTTTATCTACGGAAATTTTCAGAAGTGGGACGTTTCCTCAATTAATTATTATTAATAATAATAATAATAAAAGGCTTAGCGAATCCGAAAGTTCGATGCCGACACCACCAATCGCTTATTACACACCTCCCTCCACCGTTCGTCGTCCAAACCCAGTCCCTTCAGATCGTCTTTAATGCAATCTTTCCACCTTCGCTTCGGTCTACACCTCGAACGTTTACCATTCGGCACAGCAAATATTAACCTTTTAGGAATTCTCTCGTTACTAAGCCCAACAATTTTAAAAAGCCCATTTGATTCGCCGCGATGAAATTACCTCAATTACATTACATACAGTTCACGCAATTCAGCGTTGTGTAACCGTCTAAACTCTCCGGTTAACTCATCCTTCATCGGTCCGAATATTCTACGCAATACTTTATTTTCAAAAACCTTAAGACGCTGCTCATCCCTTAATGTAAGCGGCTAAGTTTCGCATCCATAAAGAACTATAGGTAAGATAATGGTTCCTCAATTAATTAATTAATTAATTCAATGGGGTTCTAAATACTTATGAATAGCCATTGTTCAGATATTATGTTTATACAAAATATTAGGTAATTAAGAATAAATGTACAAGAGAGACAAAAGTATGTATATATACATTTTTAGATTATTTTGTAAATATATAATTTAATATATGGCCACACTTCATGTTTTATTTATTATATTATATTATATTTCTTATATGTTTATTTGTATTTATAATTTGTTCTAAAAGGACGTGAAGGACAGGTTCCAGAATAATATAATTATTTTTAATTTCATTTCATTTACAATTTATATACACAGCCTAAACTCTAATATGTAAAATTAAAAAAAAAATTATACAATTTAATCTTCCTTCCTACTTATAAGATTCATAACCTTTTATTTGTATATATGTGAACCAACAAGACTTAAAATTTCAATCTGCTAAAAAAAAAAGTGTTTTTGTCTGAATAACCATAAGGTTAGAGAGTATTTGTTATTGTTTTATTTTTTTAAAATTCTGTTTTAATTAGAAGGAAATGAAAATAATCAATCAAAGAATCGATTCACAACATTGATTGAATGTAATTTTTATGTATGTGTGTATATCTGAGATTAGAGAATCGAATTTCTCATCTCTATTTATAAAGCAAAGTCGGTTACTATAAAACTCGTTTAGCTGAAAAATTCGATTACTCTAATTTTCTATTTACGTCAGAGATTCAAGTTATCGCGTGTCGACTGTATTTTCGATGTTGATACAATTAAAAGTTATATAATATACAGATGTAATATAAAGATAACATGTATCGATTAATTACCGATATTCTTTTGGCAGTTCCTTCGATACAGGCCATCTCATTCTCGAACTCTTTCATTATGACGCCAATCAGCATCGGAGAGTTGCAGCCATACACCACCCTCAGCAGCTGATAGGACTGTAGGCAACAATGAATAACAAATATAATTATTTGTACTTATTAATAATTTATCACTGAATAAATAACTTTATATGAAACCACTTACAGCTATAAAAATCCAAATAGGTTCAGATGATCCTCTGAACCTTTCTAAATCTTCAATTTTATCGGCGTTCGCCTAAAAAAGATAAATACAAATTTTTAGTTATTTATATAAAATACCTTCATATGATATTTTTTTAACCATACCCGAAATTTATGATGAAAAACAAGAGTCGTTAAAAAAACTTCTGCTAAGTAAGGTCAGTGTAGCTTACTCACCGTTTTCATTTGCTAAACAATATCTATATCAAAAGGTCTAAAATTTTTCTTATGAGAATAAAATCTCTGAAATTCAGTAATCGCTCAACATATACGGGCTTGATATCCACGAGTTTTGTTTATCAGAAAACACTAAAATGCGAAAAAGTTTCGCATTTGCTGATTGCATATTTGATAATTCGTAATTTAAAAATAAATCCAGTACATACTGGATATGCATCAAAGTACTGATTTTAATAAATAAATAGATTTTTTTAAAACAATGTCTAACCAAATTAATGAATCCTTTCTTCAGATGTCAATTTTTATGTTTCATTATTTTTTTTTTTTTTTTATGTTTACATTTATAGGTTTTATCATTTGGGTGGTATTCGAAAATAAATTACTTTAAATACTTTATAAAAAAAAATAAAAAAAAACGATAGTTAAGCAGTTCGTATGTCTATATCATCGATACATTGATCTATGAGCCTCTATGGAAAACCATCGAGGAATATTTTATCAAAACCTCATTCAGAGATGCACTAGCGGATCCAGGATTTAATTTTGGGGGGGGGGGGCTTCAGCACGAAATATTTTTTTTTTTTAATATATATAACGATAATTAATTTGAAAAAAAGAAGAAAGAAATGAACCTATATGAAATGTTGTTTAAGTGATTCTTGAAGCCCTATTAAATGCAATTACACGAACAAGAATACTTTAAGAGATAGTTTTTAATATTTCTTTCTATAAAACGTGGTTATATTTTACCATTTTGGGAGGGACTTCAGCCCGAAAGCCCCCCGTAAATCCGCTTGTGCAGAGATATTACTATTGTAGCTCTACGAGTGACTGCAGAAATCGGTTTGAAAATTAAAATGACTGCAGAACTCTCGGAAACACGATTAAAAGGTCTGGGCAATAAAGCTTTGAAAATTCATATAGTGGATGTAAATATTAATTCTGACGATTTGACAATTTTTTGTAAAATTAGTTCAAACAAGAATCAGTAATAATGGGGAAAATACTTACTATACTTTTAATAATTTTCATGCAGAAATAAACTTTAAATAAGCTAGAAAATGCAATATCTCTTATCCTAATGAAAAATTGATTTTTTTTTTTAAACGTAGTTTTGCATTAGAGAATTTATTATTTATTGTACTTCTTTTTTTTTTTTTTCAATCTACAATAACTAAAAAAAAATCAGAATGGTCACCAGTTTTTTAATTACAATAATGATAGTGAAGAAAGGAATTATAAAGAAATGTAATGTTTTTATACCATGGTAAAAATTAGGAAATCACTATTAACTTCGACTTTGGTTTTTTTTATTGTGCTCATCATCGATGTACATGGACCACACCATTCGGAGAAGACGTCATTTACTGTAACACAATTAATGACAGAGTAATATTTTAATAAAATAGTTAGACCATTTATTTAAATAAATTACAAATGATTTGAATTTATTGGAATTATAAAATAAAATAAATTAATTTATGTCAAAGGGGCGAACGATTGTTTAAAACACACGTTGCACAGTAACCTGATAAACCAAAAATTACCAGTTCAAATCCCAATGCCGGTAGGAATTTTAACTCTGACATTAATCCTTCGCCCTCTCCGCAGGCTCGGCAAAAAAAAAAAAACGTGTAGCCTAAAAGGCGAGAAGAGGGAGAAAAAACAAAACAACAATACGGAGTACAGTAAGAACAAAAAATATAAAAGGACAAATTCCTATACTCAACGATAATCCATTGATGGATTTTCGATGTTCATCAATGATCTCACCGCTGAGTGTAGGAAGTTACCCATTGTTACACCGATGAGTTCTGCAACGATATGATGGATTTCCAATACTCATCAGTGATCTTAGCGCTGAGTTTAGGAACTTGCCCAACCTAATTTTATTGAAAGTTCTTAGGCTGGTATATGTCCCAATTCTGGTAGACCCAATTCACAGATATTCTGGTAGAGTGTCAACAGAATTAACCCGTAAGGATGAAACTGAATAAAATACAGAATATATAAGAATTACTAGAAGATCTGAAAACGGAAGTAAATCAAAGTTTTACAATTCATGAACTACAAATGACTCTTTGAGATAGCGGCAACTCAGTAACAAATCAACTAAAATATCACACACTAGATATAAACTATATATGTTTATTTATTAGTTGTTTAAGGCATATCTTTTCATGCCAGTACTTCTATCAAAATAAAATATTCTAAATTTTACGAATTACTAACCAATTAATCCTGGCTTAGCAAGAAGAAGCTTCCATTCTTCATCTGAATTGATCTCTAATTGAAAAACTGCTTGTCCTTTTCTCGCCATTAATTTCTAAATTATTAAGGGTTGAAACGGTAATAAATTCCACTCACTTCCGTCTCTGAGTTTTCTATTTAAAAACTTTATTTACATTATAAACACATGATTCTTATAAAACGTATAAATGGTTTGATCACAGTATTTGCATAATTGTTAGGAAAGTAGCTTAGGTTTCACGATTCAATTGTAAACCTTTACTATTAAGATAAGTTTACATTGACTTTTGAATTCCTATTTTCGAGAGCACAAGAAAAGAAGGACTTCTCCATGCTATAACTAGACATTTCATAACTTCATTGTTGTTCGATTCTGGTCGAAAGTTGACTTTTATTACATAGTGGACTCAAAGAATAAATCTTGACCTTATTACTGAAGTTGAACACAGTTCACGTTCGCCCCTCATGTGTTTAACAATTATGATTTATTTATATTATTTTTCTATCATAGTCTTATCGACTTTTGAGGAAAAAGTAGAAACAGTCTTAAAATCGTGAGCCGAATGTTGATAGGAAATTGCTTTATTTTTTTTTTTAATTTCCCTACCAACGCTCTCTACTTAAGTTCTTTCACGTCTTCTGTATCTTTAAGAATGTCAATTATATATTAATTTGTATTTTCATTTCACGAATGAACCCTTCAGAAAAGCGTGAATGGAAAAGTGCAGCTAAAAATTGGTTATTTGAATTCAGAGAAAAAGGCGCGTATAACTGTAAATGATGGCTTGATGCAGTTGACCTATTTATGAGAGCGGTAACTGCTTATTTACAGAAAAAATAATGCTTAAGGATTTCACTTAAAAACTCTATCAAATAATAAACCTAATATGACGCTATTGAAAATTAACATTTAATTAATTGTTGCCTCAATGCTTAAGATGCTAACCTTAGTACCTTCTGTTGACGCTTAAGGTTATATGTTTTGTGGTAAGGTTTGTTGTTATTGACAGAGCCAGTTTTGAATTGCTATGTTACTCTTTATTTCGGCAAATTTATCTGTTTTCGGTGATTTATTATACAAGACCAGTCTACAAAGATATTAAAATACAGTAAAACATGTTCATTAAGCAGGTAATTCATTTACATTAATATATCGGCGCCTTTTGTATTTATCACCACTTTATTGATGTAATGTTTATTTTCATATTTTTTGTATTATGTCTGTTAAAATTTTACTCCTACAATTTATTTTATTTAGGTCATCATTCATGGTTTTAAAAGTTATAGGGAACAGACTGTTGTCGAACCCTTTCACAAAAGACATAATGTTGTTGGTATGTACTATATTGAGATTATTGTACCTCTGAATTTGTTACAATTCCTTTTCATAATGTTTTTGTCTTTTAGTTGGACGAAATGGTTCAGGAAAAAGCAACTTTTTCTATGGTATTAACTTACGTTATTTTGTTTTGGTTTAATTAAATTCAGTGTCCATATTACTGTTTCATTTTATCAATCTGTTGTTTTCAGCTATCCAGTTCGTACTCAGTGATGAATTTTCACATTTGCGACCTGAACAGCGGCAAGCCCTTCTACACGAAGGAACTGGCCCGCGTGTTGTTACTGCTTATGTAGAAATTATATTTGATAACAGTGATAATAGACTGCCGGTATGTGTTTCATTAACTTTAAATTTTTGAATTTTCTTCATATTTTTCACACTTGATTTATTTTTTTGTAGATTGAGAAAGAAGAAATAGTGTTGAGGAGAGTGATTGGTGCCAAAAAGGACCAGTATTTTTTAAACAAAAAGATGGTTCCTCGATCAGACGTGATGAACCTTTTAGAATCTGCTGGATTTTCACGTTCCAACCCCTACTACATCGTTAAACAGGGAAAAGTATGTGGATTTCAAGTTATGTTATGTTAGAGTTAAGTTGTATGATAACTGTTTAGAAGATTATTGGTGATAAATCGCTTATCACAAATTTTGTAGATATTAATTAAAATATAATAGAAGCTTTAGTTGAAAATGTGTTCAACTTTCAGAACTACCTCTTTATGTTTTACAGTTTTTTTCCAATCCATTTTAACCTATTCGCTGCTAAAGTTAGGGCAACAATCACCCAAGAAACACATAATGAGTTAAGAATGATGTAGGAAATAATATATATTTATTTAGTTACTAATAATATGTTTATAAATTGGAGATATTTAATGTTAAGAACCTGTTAAAATTGATTAAACCATGTTTTTGAGAATGAAATTTTTTATTTTTGTGTTATTTTGTAAAAATAGATACATATCAACCATCAAATAATGGGAGAGGATTTCAATTATAATGAATTACAGTATTATTGTGTATATTTTCTTTGATGGTATGTTAGCACACTTTCGAGGTCGCGTTTCCAGATCAATCAAAGATACAACTCTGTTATAAGGCAATAAGACACTGAAGCTTGCAAGTATGTGTTGGGTGTCTTCTTTTCTTCTTTGGATCTTGTTCTCTCTGACGATGAAACGTTAAGTGGATCAAATCTTGCTGACTAAAAAATGGGTTATAACTGTGGATTGATGATTTACTGTAATGAATAATTGCATGTACCAGCGTCAATCTCCTCTATGACCACCATATAGATTATAATAAATGGTCAACTATTTCATTCTTTATAGATAATGATAAAATCCAATTTGAATAGGATTACCTGTTTTTTTTTAGTTACAAATTTATTGTTTTCGATTATGCTTGTTTGATCTTTGTTCTTTTTATAGTGGTTCATTTGACCAGAAATATATTAATCAAAAATTATTATTTAAATAAAATTGGACAATGGATTTTTGGCTTAAAAGTGTTATTTTATTATTTCAGATTAATCAGATTGCAACTGCCCCCGATTCTCATAGACTTAAACTTCTGAGAGAAGTAGCTGGAACAAGAGTGTATGATGAGAGAAAGGAAGAGTCAACTTCCATCCTAAAAGGTAATTTTTACAATTTAAATCATTAGTATTTTATTTTAGTTGAATGGCATCACAAATTATCAGATAGAATTAATTTAATTCAAGTGCTATTTGTGTAATTGATTAGTATATCATATTAAAAGAAAAAAAACAACTACGGGAATAACACTACCCAAACCAAGTGAAATGTACTTGTATATCTATTTAAACACAGTGTTAGATTGTTTGTAAAACTAATGTGTATGAACATCTAAATTTTGTTTATTGAAAATTCATCAGATATGGTCACAGGAGGGTCTCGATAATTCGAAACCCTCAGTGATCTAAACAAGAAAGAAAAAAAGGTTAATACTGATTGAGGAGAGACGGAATGGAAATGGCTTTGTTTCTCAGTATATATTACTGAAATTGCTTCACGTGGTGGTGTCGAATAGTGTATTATGGTCTCTATATATGGAATACATTAAAACTAGGTGGTGATCCTGAAGTTAAGGAATCTCGTTATATGTGGTTTTTGCTGCAACATAAGATCATGAGGGTGTCCAATTTCCGGAATTAAATTAGCCAGTAAGTCAAAAGTTTTTTTTTTAAGAAGGATGACAAATCAGATTTTAATGCCAGTTAGTAGGTTGGCTTGATAATTTCAAAAGCAGGTATGGAATACATTATTTATTTCACTGAAAAATTTCTTTTCATCCATTTCATTTTTCATTATCAACAAGTCATAGAAACACCATAAAGGCATTTAATACTTGTCCCAGCAATCCGAAGTGGGCAAATGGATACAATATTGATTACCGAAGCCTGGTAATTTAAGGAATTCGTGAGATCATGCAGTTTCTTTATCAATAAAATCAGAGGCTCAACATACGTTATATAATCATTTTCAGAAATTATGATTTTGTTTACAATATGTTTATGTTTAACTGACAATATATGTTTTCATTACCTTGTGCAATTTTTCAATTATTTTAAATTGTATCTTTGATAATCCGAACAGGTAATGCAATCAATGTGTTGGGGTCATCAAGACCGTCTTGTACTTGACATGTACTGAAATATTTTTATCATTATTTTCAGCTCAATTATTTCCTAACATTCATAGGATCATAATTAGTAATTTAAGTCATCCAACTTAATAATCAGTCCAACTGTTCACTTAAAAAATTGTTACATACTTACAAGTGGTCAACCTAAATACATAACCTTCCTTGTGGTTTTGTGCCATAGTTGTAAATCATTAATTTCAACAAAGTTTCAATTTTTATTAATCTCAATTCTAATTTTAAATTACAGAAACTGAGGGCAAGTTAGATAAAATCGATGAATTTTTAAGAACTATCGAGGAAAGATTAAAAACATTGGAAGAAGAAAAAGAAGAGCTGAAGGAATATCAAAAATGGGATAAAATGAGAAGATCACTTGAATATTGCATTCATGATCGAGAGCTTAAGGATACAAAAAAGAAATTGGAAGAGGTAATTAATTTGCATTTATTCTTAAATGAAAGAATGGACTTTATTATCCATTTAGAGGGCACTTTAAACATGAATGAATACAATAAAAATTTGCTGATTACTTAATTATAGTTCGTAGCTCAAAGGCGAACTTATGCAGTACAAAATTAAAATGAAAGTTTCTTCGCTAACTCTCTTAATGTTTTTACAAAAATTAACAAAAAGATTATGATATATTAAATGCTTCAATAAAAGTTAATTTATCTGTATTTCAGCTGGAACAAAGATTAAATAACTTTGACGAAGTTCAGAAGAAATTGGCAGCTGAACTAAAAGCTGCCCAGGATTCAGCTAAAGTTGCTGCCCGAAAATTAAAAGAAACGAAAAAGGAAGTTCAGGTAAAGTTGTGTTACATAACAATATTCTTCTAATGAAATAATTATTGACATAGTAAAGGAACAGCTATTATTTTATAGGTAGCCAAAGAAGAAAGGGAAACACTAAGTATCGAGCAGCAACAGTTACTTAAAGATAAAACTAAATTAGAACTGACCATAAAGGATCTCACGGATGAAGTTCAAGGGGACGACAAAAGCAAGGTAATTTGTTTATAATAATTCATCTATTATATATTTTGATATTTATAAATAAATTTTAATTGGTTGAATAGTGTTTAAACCTTGAATCGTATTTCTTAGCATCGAGCAGAGCAAGAGCTGGTCAAGCTTAATGAAACAATAGCACAAAGGGAAGCTGAATTAGAAGAACTGAAACCTCGCTATGAAGCTCAAAAGAAAAGAGAAGAGGAATGCACAAGAGAGTAATCTTTTTTTTAATCACTTAATATACATTTAATCATAAACAATCATTAAGTATATACAATCTACATATTCATAATTAGAGTCACTTTATAACAGTTTATTTTAATCAATTAGTATATTGCAGTGTGTTTATTTATTTCTGATACCTATCAACTGATTATGTTTTTATTTTTAATATAAGTGAAGATAAAAAGGTATTTTATCGTGAATATATATTGAAAAGCGAAATAGATAGCAAAACCAAAAGAAAAGAGTAAAATAAATTTATAATTTCAGAATGAAGTGAAATAAAGCAGAGAGAATATTACAAAATAATAAAGAAATGAGTTAAATGTACTATTACAAAAAATAATGTTAATACAAAAAAAAATCTTTACCTGGCAGTTTCGATATTCAAACCTCTCTGTGTGATTATTTCCTTGAATTTTATCTGTAATACTCTTATACTTAAATATAGAATGCATTACTACCATTACTGTATTAATATTAATTCCATAGTAACAAACAAATCTTTTGATATTTACAATTAATATTGCAAACAAAATAATAATCGTTAGTATTTAATGTTAAATTAATTAAAACCTTAATAAATAGAAAAAATATGTATGTATGATTGTAAAACCTGATTTTTAAACTACTGCTTATCTCATTAAAGCCTAGCTGCAACATTTTATTATATTACTGTACATCCATACTTTTACTATTCATCTGTCTGTATTACTATTCTCAAAATTATAACACCGCGAAATGCTAAAACAAATTTGTTTTCCAATTCAGTTTAAAACATTAAACAAAAAAAAAAATGTACGCCATTAGCTTTGATTTAACAAATATTTTTCTTTAACATTGAATCTATGCTTAGATGATTATTTTCATTTTTAGATTAGCATTGAAGGAACAAAAAAGGAAAGAATTGTATGCAAAACAAGGAAGAGGTAATCAGTTTACGTCAAGAGGTGACAGGGATCAATGGATTGAAAAGGAACTTAAGTAAGTTCATACTTCCGTATAATATAGTATAATATTTTGTTGTTTTTCCATTAAAATTACTTTTCGAAACTTTTAGTTTTTCCTCTGAAAAAAGAAATTCTCAGGTTCAAATTGAGATTTTTTTTTTTTTTTTTTGTCTTCATGTAATTTTATTTTATTACAAAAATTATTTATTTTTTAAAAATTGTAATAGCTGATTTCTATCTCTTCTCAGATCTCTTGTAAAACAAATTAAAGATAAGACTGAACATAAAGAAAGGCTTGCAGAAGATCTTAAAAAGGATAATGAAAAGCAAGTCCTGTTGGAAAAGAAAATAGCTGTAAGTAAATCGTAATATTTCTAATTTGAGTAGTTTCAATAATTTACAAAAATATTTTTCTTTGTTTAATTAAAAACAATCAATTGGTGTAGGAGCAAAGTGCTGAATTAGAACATCAGCGGTCTGCTATCGATGAATATAATAAGCAGCACTATGAACAGAAGAAAATGAAAGACCAGTACCAGAGTACTAGGAAGTAAGTCTTCTATTTTTAATAAAACTATACAACTAATTTAAGTCTATTTACTTATGTTTCTTATTAACATTTTAGTGAGTTATGGAGAAAAGAGAATCAGCTTCAGCACACTATGACTTCGTTAAAGGAAGAATTGGCCAAGGCAGATCAAGCCCTCAGGAGTATGGCAGGAAAGGTAAATTAATTAAAATCACTGCTAAAGTTAGTTTGGATATACGGAGTGTCTACCTACCAGGAATTCAGATTATATGGAAAAACCAGGAAAAGTATAGGAATTTTCTGATAACTCCTTCATAAATTTGTTTATAATGTGCAATTGAATGGATAATGTTTGTGATATAATTTTATGTGATCATTAAACATTGCAAAATTCCTAAACTTAATGTCGGAATTTTAATCAAGATGGTGTTGATCACTAGTAGGTTAGAATGCCGGTCTTTCATAATGGAGCAGAAATGAGTTCTAATTTAAGGAATAGTTGCCTTATGTTTAGGTCGTACGTTGCTGTCAACAATCAGACCCTATTTTGATTTAATATTTATTTATAGCTTACGTTTCAGGTCTTTATCAGTACCAGGTATGCCCAGGATTGTTGGATCTAGCTTTTATGAAAACCTGCATCATAGATTGAAACTTTAACTATATATAAATATTACTCCAAAATAGTGCGTGATTATGGACTGATTATGTAAATATTTTCATAACAAATTTATTTTATTTCAGCCTATCCTCAATGGTAGAGACAGTGTGAGGAAAGTTCTAGAAACATTCCGGCAAAGAGGTGGCACTTATAAAGATCTGGCTGATTGCTATTATGGCCAAGTCATTGAGAATTTTGAGTGTGAAAAGTCTATTCATACTGCTGTTGAAGTTACTGCAGGAAATAGGTAAATTAATATTATTAAATTATCAACATATTATGTGATATTAAATAGTCTCCAGGAAAAATATTCATTCAAAATCATTGAATTTGTTGATCACTACTAAATTTATAACAGAATTAAAATAAAAATTATTCAGATTAAAGATTATTACACCAAAAGTTCTATTATTTCACTGTTTTATAGATAACTGGGATACATTTTTTTTGTTTTAGTCCAACAAGATTGCTATAAATTTTTTTGTAGTCGGACAAGTTCACTAAATACAGTTAATTCTTACTACTAATTTTCTTTTAGGCTTTTTTACCATATTGTGGAATCTGACAGTGTCGGTACACAGATTTTGAAGGAGATAAACAGGCAAAATTTACCTGGTGAAGTCACTTTCATGCCAAGAAATCGTTTGCATGTAAAAGATCAACGATACCCGTCTTCAGAGGTATTGTTAATTTTTTAATAACAATAATAATACTTCTTCCAAGTATAATTTCTATCTATTAACAATTTTGTGGATACTTAAATTATTACTTTATTTCCAGAATGCGATTGCCATGGTTAGTAAACTAACTTATGATCAGAAATTCGATAAGGCAATGAGATACATTTTTGGTAAGACTCTCATTTGTCGTAACTTGGAGGTAGCTACTGACATGTCGAAACAGTACAACCTAGACTGCATTACAATCGATGGTGATCAGGTTTGTCAAGCGATGATTAATATCTCTGTTAGAATCAATACTTTCATAACTCTGTTTTTGTGATTCTAAATTAAGAGAAATTCTTTTGAAAATATAATTTTTTTATGTTGTTTATTGGATTTGATTACTTATAATATTAAATGAAACAAATCTTTAACCTTTGTTGTATATAAAGTTTATCTCATAAATGTGATGGTTATATCATTTGTTATACCCAATAATATTAGTATTGATTACTGTCAAAATTTTCTTTGAGAGAGTTATCAATTTGGAAATTATGCCATACCTTATATTACTATTTTATAACTGTGTATTATCTGGATTCTAGGTATCATCCAAAGGTACACTCACTGGTGGTTACTTCAAAAACATCAGGTCTAAGCTCGAAATTCAAAAGAACAGAACAGAGTTGATGCAACAAATTCGCGAAGCAGATGCACAACTACTTGAGTTACGTGAACAGCTTACTGTTACTGAAGCTTCCATTACCCAAATTGTTTCTGACATGCAAAGGACAGAAACGAAAAATAGCAAAGCTAAGTAAGTTGATTTTTCATCCAATATTTAGTAATTATTATATAATTTAGGAAACTTATTTTTTTTTTCCAAGCGGTTTGGAGTAAACTAAAATAATTGGAAAGAATAGTAATAAGAAGGATTTGCGGTGCTACAAGAGTTAATGGTAAACAGAAAATTCAGAGCAACTATAAATCAAGGCTATAGTAGAGAATCATAATATTATTAATTGTATCAAACCAAATAGGCCGAGATGGGCAGGGCATGTGGTGAGAATGGAGGATGAACAGGTGCAGAAAAAAATATTGGAAGTGAACTTCTGTGAAAAGAGGAAGGATGAAGTGGAGAGAGATGAGAGGAAGGAGTCTGCAATTGGAAGAGAGAATCACATGGTAGAGAAAAGTTGAGAATAATAACTCATGAGGCCACGATTCATACTGGCCTGTAACATCAGGAAATTAATTAATATAATTAAACATGAGTCAAATTAGGTAAAATCAAATCAACTCCACTCCAAACCAGGTGCTCTCTGGGACTAACACCACAATGTGTAATTTGTTCAGCCATTATGGGTTTTATTCTCTTTTTTATTTATTACATAAAAAAAAGATATAATTTCATTAATAGATTCAACCTTTTCTTTCTTATGAGTTCAATATAAATTTTCATATAAAATAAAAAATTGAAAAGATATATTTAACAACAATTTTTTATTATATAATTTATTCATGTAAGAATTATTTTTTTCTCATAGAGGATACTTCGATAAACTGAAAGCTGACATCAGACTGATGAAAGAGGAGTTGGCCAGTATTGAAAGGTACAGGGGCCCGAAAGAGAGATCCTTACAGCAAGCCATATCTAACCTCGAAGCTATGCAGAGCACCAAGCAAGGATTGGAATCTGAGCTTCACCAGGTTTGTTTCTCAACAATAATAATAATAATCAAGTTATCATATCATTTATCAGTCTTAATTACCATCGTTTCATATCTATCTAGGACTTGCTGGAACAACTGTCGGCAGCAGACCAACGTGATATGGACAAGCTAAATGATGATATCAGACGTCTCACTCAAGAAAATAAATCAGCTTTCTCTACGAGAATGAAGCTGGAAGCAGACAAAAATAAACTTGAAAACCTTCTAACAAACAATCTTATCAGAAGAAAAGATGAACTCATACAGGTTATTTTACTTATCTATCTCATTAAAATCATATTACAGTTTTCACATGTTCATTAGTTTTTTCAAGGTGAGAAAATTGTTGATTAAATACCTTTCCTTATTCTAGGCATTACAAGAAATCTCAGTGGAGGAAAGGAAGAGGACATTAGATAACTCCAGATTAGAACTTAGTGGGATAGAAAAGAGGTTAGAAAAACTGAATAAAGACTTCAAAGCATGTGAGAAGAAAGTTCAAGAAGCAGTCAAAAGGGTACTTACTTCTTATCACATTAATAATTGTCTGTTTTAATATTTTATTTTAATTGATAGTCATGAACATTGTTTAACAAATCTCTAGCTGCTTTAAGATTAAACTGTGATGAATAGTTCATAATATTTGCATAATATTGTGTCAATTGTCTATTCAATTTATTTTATTACTGTTGTAAGTTGTTACCTCTTTGGTGAAAGAAACTTGAATACTCAATTATTGAAATGATATTAATAGGATTATAAATTTATGAAACTTTCCAATTTGCTATTTTGTAGAATATTTTCCAATTAAAAATCTGTAATCCTAATAAATTTGAATGATTGTTGGATAGCAAAAAGCTGAACAGGACGAAGTAGAAAAATGGAGAGTGAAAGAGAAGGAAGCTCAAGAAAAGAGAGATGCCGATACAAAAGATTTGAGTAAAGTGGCATCTAAGCAAGCCATGCTTCAAACCAAGATTCAAGAGGCGACGTCAAAGATACAAGAATTAGGATCACTTCCTTCTCCTGAAATGGTCAACAAGTATATGTCTTACTCGTCTAAGAATGTAAGTGAAACAATTATGTGTCAAAAGTATACTACATAATACTATATATATACTACTAATTTTGTTTTGCTTTTTTAGCTTTTTAAAGAGCTAGAGAAGGCGAACGGGCACTTGAAGAAATATAGTCATGTTAACAAAAAAGCGCTCGACCAATTCATGAGTTTTTCAGACCAAAAAGAGAAACTTATGAAAAGAAAAGAAGAGTTGGATAGAGGGTTAGTAGCTTGTTTTGTCATTTTTATTTTGCAAAGTAGTTACAGTCTGACTAGTACCAGGTGCCACCCTCAGTTGTGTTCCTATTGGCTACATAGATATTTTGTTATTCTAATAAACTAAACCACTTTTGTATTGTATGTGTTGATGACCTTTTTTGAGATAATATTCTCAATAATGATATAAAATAATTTTTCAGGGATGAAAAGATCAAAGAGCTAATGGTGGTTTTGGAACAAAGAAAATGTGAGGCCATTCAATTTATGTTTAAGCAAGTGTCTATGTTCTTCTCTCAGGTAAGGACTTAATTAGCTATTTTTAAATCTTTCCTTTGATTGTATTTCATTGATTGAAATGAGTTGATTTAGTTTAGTAAAGATTTCACAAGTGTAAGAGATTCATCTTTAATGTTTTGGGTTTTCAGGTATTTAAAGAGCTAGTTCCTGGAGGTCATGCCCAGCTGGTAATGAAGACTAATGATGGCGATGAACACGTCGAGCATAATCCTGTTCGTAAATACACCTCTTGCATTATTACATCTTATTTAATTTTGTATATTTTCTCAGAATGAATAAATTGCACTAAGTTAATACGTAGTTACATAAACACACCCACTCGCGATATTTTATCTGGTTTTTAAAACTGGCTTCATTTTATGAAGTACCTAACGTATGGGTACCTATATCTTTTAACAAATTTATACTGTTTTTTTTTTTAAACATTCACAAAATAACTTCTAAATAGTTGATTTGAAAACAAAATATATCTCTTTAAACCTAAAAGGGTACTTAAAGGTCACTGTCACTGAAGGGAGTTGAAAAAGTGTAACCCCATCATCTACAAACCTCTAAAATAGGAATGAACAAAGAAAACATAACTTCCTTACCAAAGAACCACCTGTGCATGGCTAAAGAAAGCAGCATCCTTCCAGAAAGACCACCCCCACTGAGTATGTTAAGATATGAGACATACAAGAATGTAGGTTTTGTTTAGACTTATCGTCGGCACCATGTTTAAGTAACGGATGTGCAACGTTGGACAGGTTAACATTCATTACTTTAACATGGTGCCCACGATATCTTATTCAAAAAAGAAGAAGGGTGATCTGATCTTTTCTGTAATGTGATTCAAGGGATACTGAGTTTCGGGAAGGACTACTATGAGTTGAGCCTTTTAATGTAATCTATACATTTTTTATTTTCCGAGAATTGTTTGATCATGTATGTTGATTAGACAGAGGTTTATCATTCTTGGGTTAATGATTAAATATACCAAGAGTTTCATGATATTTAACCATGCTTATATAATTTTAAAATGAAATTATTTTTCAGGAAATAAATTCTGATGAATTTTCTGGTGTTGGAATCAGGGTCTCGTTCACCGGTCATGGTGAAATGCGAGAGATGAACCAGCTGTCTGGAGGACAGAAGTCTCTTGTAGCACTTGCCCTGATCTTTGCCATTCAGAAATGTGATCCTGCGCCGTTTTACTTGTTTGATGAAATCGATCAGGTATGCATTGTCAACTGTTAATTCACATATTATTTCAACTTGGTGATTTACTTATACCTTCCTTATAGATATATTGCATTTATATTTTATATGAATTATGACAGAGGTCTATGGATTTGAACACTCAGCTATTATTCATTAAAATTAATATTTTTATTTTTAGTGCAGAAATAATTTTGGTCATGCTGCTAGTTATTTTTTTCAAAAAATATATCATTCGAGTAGTAATCTTTTTAATTTTTTTTTTTTTAAATTGTAAAATAATTGTGAAGGTTACTGTTATTTATTCAGGATTTGAGATAGTTCATCTTAAATAAAACTCCACACCATTTTTGTTAATGCTGGTAAAATAAAGAATTAACTTTCTAAATGGATTGATTATTACAGCTGTAAGTTTGTGTTAGGCATCTGTATTGCTTAGTAATTGCTCTCCAAAAAAAAAAAAAAATCATTTTATCTTAAACTCTTAGTACCAATATGAAATAAAATACTCTATTAAATATTTCTCTTTGTTGGTGTTGAGTTTCAGATTGCAAGTATTTTTATTACTACATTATGCTTTGTCAATTTATTTGTTATGCCCATAAATCACCTTATATGAATTCATAATTTGTTTTTGAATTTTTTTTGTTTCCTAATAAGTTTATGTATTAAGTAATAAAATTTTCTTTTTAGGCTTTAGATGCTCAGCACAGAAAAGCTGTTGCAGACATGATTCACAAAATGTCAGAGGATGCTCAGTTCATCACAACCACTTTCAGGCCCGAGCTTCTTCAACATGCTAATAAGTTCTATGGTGTCAAGTTCAGAAATAAGGTAACCTAAATTTTTTTTTTTAAATTCTGTTATTATTTTTTATAGCTTAAATTGAATATTTATTCGTTTCCTTTATATTAAAGGTGAGTCATGTCGAGTGTGTAACACGAGAGGAAGCATATGACTTTGTGGAGGATGACACAACGCATGGGTAACCAAGTCTTATCCAAGGAAAAAAAAATATTTTATTACTGTTTGTATTTAATGTTAAGGTGGCCGATTACGTAGGCCCATTATAGGGAACTTTTAATATTTGACTGTAAACTCAGTTCAAGTACATAATTTTGTACAGCTGTTGATTTTATATTGATTTAAGTTAAATAATTAATGTATATTTGATTATTAAAATATATAGTTTTTGTTTTTATTATTATGTTATTCATTCGCTAATACCTAGTAGTTTTTAAAATCTTATTGAAAACCATTTGATATCAATAACAATATTGAATTTATGAATATTAAAATTTCAAAATCAATGAGAGAGTAGAAGCCGAGCTGGTTTGTATAAAAAATGGTGCAAGTTTAATTCCTGTCTTAAGAGTTGTCAAAATTAATTCAGAAATTAACCTTAACTTTTTAGCTTCTCTACTCTGTGTTTATTAAATATTTTTTAAGCATTAATGAGGGGGCTGGATGGTTAGAATTATAGTACAGTAAGCCACTTCAGCTTTTTGTTTAGAAAGGGAATGTTGTGTAAATGTATTTCAATGATATATGAATATTGTAAATATATTGTTAACATAATATTGATCTATGCAACACATTCACGTTTTAAATGAATATTAAAACTGACTTATTGATACATATTCATTAAACCCGGTATGCTCACAACTATTTAGTTAACAGTACTTTTTTGTCTGTAGCCATGAAATTACTCTCAGTTGCTCTATACCCAGGGATTTCATTTTGACACTTTAAAAAAGGGATTGGGTGTTCAAATATTTTGTGTGTTAATTTCTTAAATGAAAATCCAAATTCTGAACCTCCAACCATCTTTAATCCAGCAGAACATACAAATTGTATTAAAGGATACCATTCAGGAATACTAATCTTGACTGAATGTGGTTTCCATTCCGCAGTCATATTTCAATATTTCTGGGCAACTGTTTGAAGTAATCTTGTAGGAAATTTATAAAAATTGGATTAAAAATGCTAAGAGCTATTTGCCAAGCTTTTAGAATTATTATGACATTTTTGTATATTTTAACAGCCTCATATATTTAGCTATGTGCCCTAGGAGGGTCTGCAGACCCCACAATCGAGCCGCAGGTGATATTACAGAATTATTATCTGGCATAGAAGAACATGAACATAGGCCCTTACTCACTAAGCTATCCTATTCATTGTAGGGAATAAATCTGTTAAACTAATTTTTAGTTATAAAATAAAATTCATAAGATAATTTATTTATATAATTACAGTTAACATAATAAATCAAGTAACAAAAATAACAATGATTTCAATCATTTGGACAGCCTTGAAAATTAAAGATAATTGCTTTATATTATAGCTAATATCAATAATCAAAATGAAATGAATGAATATCAAATTTAATTTTTAAAATGGATGAAAGTTGAAAGACTTATTCAGTTTAATTAAAATACTCAGACAGTGCTTCAAAATATTGAAGCAATATTTTGAATAAAATAAAATATGTTTAATATTTAATTGACTTGCTCGGACACAAAGTCAACCTTTTTTCCAGCTTTCTTCACTATTTCCATCACTTCGTTAGAGGACAGGCTTGAAGATGTGACTTTGACTGACTGCCCAGACAGGTCTATTTCAAAGCCTCCGACTCCTCTATCTGTAAAAAATAAACATTTAAGAACTCTTACTCATCGTAGTTAAATTCATTATAATAATTATTTGATGAAGGTATCTGAAAAGGCAAAAAGTAGCCATTAGTTAAAAAATAAAAGTTTAATAAAAGTGGTGCAGTATTTGACATTAATAGAACAATAATATTTAAAAATACATTTTCAATGATAAGGGATTAAAAATATAAACATAAAATATATATTTTCAGGAAGTCATAAATTTGTAAAACTATTAAAAAGAAATACCTCTGTGCTTGTCGAGAACCTTCTGGAGGGCATTGGAGCATCCTTCACATGCCATTTCCACTTTAAAATTGAACACCTAATTAATCAGAGAAAGAAAGATTAATAACTATGAAATAAGTAGAGTAAAGCATCCATTTGTCAAAATGTTTTAGTTTTGTTAAACAAAATTTTCATTTTTCAATCATTTATTTCTTCATTGATACTATATTCAAGGAGTGGTGGAAAAAATGAATATCTATCTTAAATCAACCATTTAATGAAAAAGTTTTAAAGTAAAAAAATGAAGTTTTAGATACTACAAAACGTTAAGATAAATTTGAATAGATTATTAATTGACAAGACCAATCTCAAATATATGAATAAAAATAACTTACACCACTTTTGCATTCCACAGTTAAAATATTTTACAGCTTATTTTTTTTTTTACTTAGTAATATTTTCAATGACTTAATTATGAATTTCATTAACTTTTTGTGAACTACCTCAGTATAAAATGCCTGCATAATTTTCAGGAAATGAGCAGAACAAATTATTTTCCAAATTAACTAGTTTTACACATAAGTTCTATTTTCCGTAAAAAGAAAAAATATATATTTTTTTTATTACATACTACAGAATAGAGAAAGGAGATTGGTTAAGAAGGTAGAGTATTGGTTTTTTTGTTTAATAAACCTTTTAATAATAAAGCATAATTCTTTTCAGACAGGCAAATGATTACTTGCATGAATATTAAATTTTTATTGTTGGTGAAGATAAAGTTGTAACAATAAAAATGGAAGAGCTTGTGAAGAGTAAATTTCCCCTGAATAATTAATATCATGGTATCGGAAATCAGACATCTTAATTACTGCCTAGACCATTCAAGAGTTCTTGTGGAACTTTTTATTACTATTTCCTCTGAATTCAATAATGATTTATGAGTTCTAGATAAAACTATTAACAAAGTGATAAAAAACACAATAAATATAACTTCCATTATTCTTCAAAAAAATTTCATGTACAGTTTACAATACAATAAATTTAACTAGTCTAAATTATTAATAGATTTCAAATTACCTTTTCTGGCATCGTTGCAGAACTACGGGTTACTACTCGGTATCTAGAACAAATGAAGTGGGTTATCTAATCAAACAATTAAGGGTGAGCTTCAAACTTACATCTGAAAGTATAATGTACAAGATATGGTAACAACTAGATTAGTCAAAGAACTGAAGGGTAACCTCATTTATAGATAAAAATATAAGAAAAATAATCCCTTAATCATTCAATTCTAGTTTAACAAGAACAAATTTATACTAAATAATTATTTTGTGTTGAAAGTATGATGGAAAACAGAAAAAAAAAAAAAACTATCATATGCAGTATAGCTTCTGTACATTCAACTTTTCCATATCAAAATTTTTTTCATATCTAATAAGCATGTACTTTATACATTTCAAAATTTAAAATGTTCGTATTTCCATTTGACGTGATTAGCTTTAAAACTGATTCAAATTACTTCTTTTGTGCAAAATATTTTTCACAATTTTACAATGCACTACATCACCAAGCAAAGCTGGAATAGCCAATAATGCCTCAATCCTGTATAAAAATGGGATAAAACTATACAAAAACCACAAGAATTGTATAATCATGTTTTTGATGTTTGTTGTAAAATATTGGAAAATTAATTGAGCCTGTTTTGAAATTAATCGCTTCATTTGTGATTATGTAAAGAAAACACAATGGAGAAACATATAGAAAACAAGAAATGGAAGAATTACAAACAGTAAAACACAGATTAAGATTTAATGACCATGCTGGAATTGTTAATAAATCTCTGAATAAAATTGAATATTGGGATGCGTTTGGCAGTCAATACCTAAAAAAGAGGTTACAATAAATACATATACTTCATTGTACAGTAAAGGCATTTATTAAATATATAAGTATACATTTTTAAAATAATCCATACTTAAATAATTAACTTATACAATACAATGTTTATATTTAAAATAATATAATGCCCACAAGTATAAATATTATAGATCATTTCATATTTTACATAAAATGATTATTTATGCCAACGATAAAATAGTGAAAACTTCCTTTATGTCAAATTTATTTTAAGCAACATTCAAGTTTGATGTAGAGGTTTTGATAGAATTTTAAAACAATATTTACTTAACTAAATTCATACATAATGCAACCGATTAATAACAATAAAAAGATGAAAATAATTGTTTTGTATTAAAATATATTATTATAAATTTAGTGATCATCAAGCTATATTAAAATTCTTTTTGAATTAACAATAATTTAATAAATACTTAACTCATTTATAAATTAGAAAAAAGATTATGTTTCATCAAAAAATTAAATTGAATAATCAGCATACAAATAAAGAAATAAATTGCATCATTTAAAAGAAATATTCATAATTAAATATTTAATTGTAACTCCTAAGTCAGCATATTTAATTCAATAAGGGCTTTTGATGATACAAGAGATAAATAAGTGTCTTACTAAAACAGAAAGCAGCTAACAGTAGATGACCTCACAAACAATGATAAATAACTGATCATTTTTTTTTTCCACAACCCTTTTTAACCACAGTTCAACAGTGATAAATCATGTGTCTGCCAGATTAGATATATTGGGCGCTTTTATATCAATTATTATTTTATTTCCTATAACTAATACAATCACCATACTTTCTATTACAACATTTCTCTAACATTGTATAACTTTTTATTTCTAAGACATTGCTCAATTGAAAATAACTCCCGCAATCTGAAATAATGTTTATATTCTTGATGTGGAATATTTTACCACAAAAAACAAACATAAGTCTGTTAGAAACACCTATTGAAGTAGTAAGCGAAAAAATTTAATTTAGGCTTTACATTAATTTAGCAATAAAACTGGAGTATAGATGGTTTCTATCCGCACTATGTCAATGTTTGACAAACATGTTTGTTTAATTTAATTTGATTCATAAAGGATCATGATGTTTCTCAGATCAATAATGTTCAATTTACCAAATTATATTGAAGGTCAAATTATAACATTAAACTTACATCCTGTTTTCCTGTTCTAATCTATGGATGTAAGAGATGGCTAGTATTTTATTTGACACAAATCGTAAAAAACATTAAAGGTTTAATACTGAATTTATATAAATAAAATTTCACTGAAACTGCTTATACAATTAAACATCTTATTAAACTTTTCTCACTTTCTTCAATCCAAAAACTCACTAAGAAAACGAGGCTAAAAGCTTTCTTTTCATTCCAATCCTTCCTAGACTACTTCATTTAACTAA